CACTTGAGGTTAACCACCATTTATCACCCGTAGAAGTGTGCATAGAGCTAAACTGGCTGTATGCACTTCGGTAGTGCATATGTTCATATACTTTATGCATTTAAGAAAGAGGTTAAAAGAATAAACCCTTGTCTTCACTGCAAATACAGTTTACACTTTACAAGTGTATAAGAAGTATTATGGCTAAAAAGAGAGCTGTACCACTATTTGGTGATATGGACCATATTCATAGACAGGGTTGATCGCTGTCCCAGGAAGCCATGTTTTAATAAAAAGTTGATAAGTTTAAAGAATTGTGAGCTGGACAAATCAAAGAAATTTTGCTTGTAGGGGAAATGCTGTATGGAAAGTAAGGCTCTAGTAGCATTCCATCCATACATGGCGCATAAAGCTTACTTCAGTGAGGTACATCACTGTATATCTATAAACATAATCCCATCTCGGGTATGTTCTGCCTAAACATGTTCCTCTGATGTATGGTGCACACAGAACTGATGCTTTGTGTGCATTGCGTGTCATATGTATTGCTTGGTCACCATTATAAAGGCATTTTCTACAAGCATTGTTTGAACTAGTGGCCCAAATGCAGTACAAAAGGCAGCTTTAACTAGGGGAGTAACATTGTTGTCTTTCTTAGAGTAACTGTGTTGGGGGACTTTACAGAAGGGCTAGAAACAGGCAGATGTCTGTCTGGAAGATTCCATTGAGCAGAAGCCCTTTATATATTAGGACACCTTATTTTTTTCTTCATGTTTTTGAAGAAACCTGATTATTTATGTATTTTGCACTTACAGAATTTTTTTCTGCCTTCCTGGAGGTGTTTTTAAATATGCTTTTTAGTGTTTAAATGAATAAGTAATGTGTATTGCTGCAGTATATACTTTTATGTGCAAGCATATATGAAATATGGATATCCAACCACTTAACTTGCAAGACTTGGAGTTTATGTTACTATTCAGGATGGAATCTGGTGTTTTTTAACAGGACAATAAAGTATTTTAAGTAAATATCAACTGACTGCAATTTTTAATAAAAGTTTATTGACAATTCAAAAAAGTTAACAATATACAATATTGCCAAAAAATATAAAAATGGAAACACAAAGGCAGTTTTAAATTCAGACATATAGAAGGTATCACCATAACTGATTTTATACCGTGTATCATCGCATCCAGTATGTTGATATGTAGGTAATTTAAAATAGATTCATGAAGCAGAATGCATGGCATACCATTCATTCTAAACTCCAGCTATTGGTGGCAGCTAACAGTGCCTTTACTCAGACTTTCAGGTCAATTGATATTAGACACTTCCCCCAGACAAGCAGTATTACATTAAAGCAATTCTTGCCTTAGGCCCTTTTCACATGAATGTTCCGATTGGGTCTGCCTGTCTCCTCTATGGAGCGGCATGTGTAAACACACATGTCCGTTTATACCTGCCGACATCCAACTATAATTGGACAGATGGGGATCCATTCCCCTTCCATCAAGCAGATCGAATTGTAGTCGGGAGTAAATGGAAGGCAGTCTTAACATCCTACCACTCATAGAGGAGTGAAGGGTTATGCAGAGTGGACACAAACCTGACATCAGCCTGCTAAGCAGGGATGTTCTGGTGAGCAAGCTGATCGCAGCCGGATTCTGCCCTATGTGAAAGAGGCCTTAGAGACTCATTGAGAAAGCTACTGCCAAGCCTCTTCTGAAGGTTCTAGTTGTCAGCTAATACACTGATCATCTGGCTTCTGTAAGGTTTGAGTCACTGACCTTGAATTAGTATGCATATCTGTAGAGTCACAGATTCTTATTGCCATGCTTGTTCCAGGTATAGGACAATTAATGCAAAAGGGTAAACATGATAGCCATGAAATTAGCATTTACATAATAAGATGTAGCAATGGCAGCCACCATGACTTTTTCAGGATAGACATCCCTTAAGCCCTAGCTCTGCCTTCGTGACCTTTGCCATTACTCTTGCTATCCCATCGAACAGTGCCTGTGCATAGGGAACATGGCTAGCTCTTTATTTTTTCCTCTTGTGTCAGCTCTCTTGCAATTCCTTATAAAACTGAGACTGATAATCTGATTTGTGAAAGTTTTTTTTTTTTTTTTTTTTTTTGGTTACACAAAGTTTCCCAGCTAATTTCTAGGGATTGCTAGAGAACTCTGCTATTAAAGAGTGCACAGCAGCCTCCAGACACAGATATGTCATATTTTACTTTAAAGACCTCCCCATACAACCTCATACCTATATTATATAGAATTCTCCTATTACCACTGCATACCACAAGCTAGTGTTTACTTTTTTCAGCATTAGGACATGGGTGGGGGGGGGGGGGGGGACTGCAAGGTGTGGTACATGTGGACTGTCCATTCATTACAAATTAGTCAGTTACAGACCCCCACCACCGTGTCAGCATCTCAGTACAGGTACCAGCTTCTAGTGATCTTGTGCCAGATCCTGTCCCAATGGCAGAATTTACCTGTGTGTAGTAGAAATGGAGCTGTGTGTAGAATGCAGGACAACATTTCTTGGTGAACATGCACTAGTCCTTATAAACAAAAGATTCCTCAGCAGCTTGTGCCGAAAATTTTGTTTGCAAAATCTGGTATGGTATTGCTTTTCATTAAGTAATTAGTCCTACGGTAAAGAAAAGGCCTTGAATTGACAATGAACACTGCAATACCTTCAAGGGGCAGTCTACTTATCCATACTCTAGAGCACAATATACTTTTATTAGTCTTCACATAATTTTAATAAACAAAGGATTTCAAAGACAACTCGTAGATAAACATAACTACCTGTATAATGAATTCATTCAATAGTTATAGCTTTGGTCAGTTTAAAAAGAACAATGGTCTATATGCACTTCCCTTTATCAGAAAAGTAAATGTTATTGCAGCCCTTGCAAGGTGTACTTCTGATCATGTAGGGGGCTGAAAAGTTTAATTACTGCAGATTATATTGGGAGTCTTCTCGTACTCAGGGGTAAGCAACCTTAAAGAGATAGAGATCTACCTGAACAACATGGGAGAAGTAAAAGATTACGGGGCAGAGTATCGTCCGGTGTCGCCTCCTCACACCTGATTTAAACCTTTAATTGCTGTAATACCGTGTCGCATTGCAAGGCAACCATTGGTTTATATCAGGTGGTGAGAAGGCAACATATCCCTCCTCACCACCTGTCAAACACACTTGCATCGCTTTTCAGAGGTGGAGCAGTGCCTGCTGCACTTGTGAATGACCCCCTTAGTTGCTTTCGGTAGCGGTGCCCTCAGGGCTCGTTAACAAAGTTGGAGGGGTAGTAAAACTCTGCGGAAGAGTTGCAGTTTTACTGCCCTCAATCCCTACCCCCTTTAACTGCTGAGGCAGCAGCCAAAGGTGTACACATGCCTTAGCAGGAATTAAACTCCCTGTTGCTTTTGGTCGGTGCTACCGCCTGCCAATCACGACCCATTCAAGTAAATGGGGCCAATATTCAAGTGCCCGCAATTACATACTACTGCAGGGTTAAAGCAGTTGGTGAGAAAGCCGCAGAACACTGACCCCTCTAATCCCTTGTTTTCTGTACTGCACAAGGTTGCAGGACACTTACAAAGCAGCCACATTCACTTGAATGGGTCATGCTTGGCAGGTGCTACACCCACCATCCATGACAGGGCCTATAATGCCTGCTGCGGCTGCAACATGTGTACACCCCTGTCCACTGCAGCTAAAGGGGGTGGTAAAAACACTTTAGGAGGTTTTACCACCCCAAAGCACTTACTGTTTGAGCCCCCTATAAGGCTGCTTACACACGGTTATACTGCGGTTTACCTGTACTGCGGGTGCAGAGCAGTGCATCTGTTACTTTCCTGGGTTAGCTGCATGTTGCCATAGACTTTTATTATATCCTGCGTGTGTGGTGTGCTTTCTGAAAGTGCACCAAACCCGCATGATATAATAGAAGTCCAAGGCTAAGTGCAGAAATGCTGCAGGTGCACTGTACCTGCGGTGTGGGTAAACCGCAGAAGATCAGTGTGAAAGCAGCCCTATACCATTATGCCCACTGTATTGCTTCACACTGACCTGAAGATCTTTTCTTTCCTGCTGTTGGCACCACTCTAAAGACCACTAGCCTGGATAAGAGGTGAAGTGCAGTTGGTATCACTCCACATGGGACAGGAGGCAGCACTACAGAGGAGGCATTGGCTTATGTGGGCTCTTGCTCCCTACTACAGCTCCAACTTTACAAGTAGTCCCTCTGCATTGCATTCTGATGCTCTGGGACAGCGGGTCAGCAAGCCCAGACCGCGATCTACCGGATCTGGCCGTAATCTACTGGTAGATCACGATCTATGGGATGCTGACCCCTGTTGTAGCTAATCACTGCCTGTCAATAGGGAGTGAAATCATTGTAGCTTTTTAATTACTTTTAGGCTGCATTGTCATTGACCTGAATGAGCCAACCAAATTTCCATCACTGTCCATTTGGGACAAGGGTTGCGATTAAACTACTGAAAGGGCGTCAGTTTAGGTTAATTTCTATTTTAAGGGTTAAATAACATAAAAATAGAGCAAGGTTTTTTGTGGGTTTTTTTTTTTTTTTTTTTTTTGAACAGACATGACATATTGACCTAATACTATTGCAGAATACAAAGATTCTGGCTTTGTGTCATTCCCATGCTGACCAGCAGAGAGCAGCATTTCATACCAGTTACAACCTATCCAAGCAGCTGTCATTTTCTAGCTTGTCATTTCAGTGGAACTATCAGAGCAGCTTCAATACAATAAATACATGTTGGCAGAACTACTATAAGACTAAACTAACTTGTTGATGAGTGGCATAGTTCTGGTACAGTTGACTGGTGTTAAAATAAACCTAATCCCTTGACTGTGTTTTGAATACTACAGCTTAATATAGTATGAACATCATTAATGCAGAAAATGACTATGCTAATTCTAAATTACATTTATACAATGCACACCTCCCTCTGCACTACTGTGTCCGCTCAGTAACATTAGTAGAGCATGACGACTGGTGGCTTTTTCTCTGGTTCTTTCCTTATTGCAGGGGAGTCCTCAAGGCTTAACCTGGCAGTGTTCACCAGCTTGACCCAATCCTCTTGAACCTGTAAAGGGGAATAGAACAGAGTGTTTCCTTTACTAGTTGACCCCTGGTAAAGTAAATGGGAAAAAAAAGCTAACTCCAGTCCAAACTTTCCCAAATTAATTTTGGATAAAGTGCAGAAGGGTTATTAAGCCTATGTTGGGGACACTAACCCTTATCTTGATAATTGTTCTCTCTTGTAAAGGTAATTTTTACAATGGGACACATATGGATTGAAAAAAAACCCATAGGATTTCTTGTCGCATCTATGGGGACAAAGTGAGGTGAAATTCCACAAACAGAAATAAATACCTGTAGGGTTTCTACGCCCTCTCCACTAAACCTGAACATTGGCTCTTTGTGTTTAGATGTACTGGCTGATGGATTTATGGTGGAAGGGAGTGTATCAGCCAGCTGTGTATAAGGATGGCTGATTGCAGGATAGGACTATACTCGTGTATATGCTAGTCCACGGGTATGCAGCCTAGTCATTTCAAATCACGGTTCAAAAATCTTTTTTTTTTTTTTTCTTTTGTGCATCACAGGAAAGGTAATTCTTAGATTATTGGGCTATGCTCCACCTTCAAGTGGATGCACACTGAAAAGTGGCAAAGCTGGACACTGCCCAGCATAACCCCTCCCACACCCAGCATTGCCTTTTTTTTTTTTTTTGCTAGTGTCTATAGGTGATAGACCTATCTCTCTCTACTGAGAGTCTTTCTGCTCAAATTTTCTGCTGAGCCATGGTGCTTTGTAGCAGTTATATTTTTCTGTAATCGTTGCTCTAAATTGCTGTATTCCACAGGGACCTGTACCCACAGCACAGTGGGAATAACTGGGATGGCCTGTATGCTGTGTTTGGGACTGGATCCCACATGTGGTGCTCACCTTGGTAGGTAGTAGCATAGACTGAGTTAGCTGTCATGGTGCTGTACAGGTCCAGAGACATATATATACACAGCACACATTGGTGCTGGAACACAGGATTGTGAGTATTGTGCAGGCATGGAGGATCTAGCACTAGGAGAATTGGGACACTAAACTCATTTTAGGAGACTGTACTTCCATCCACAAACTCATTTATGGGGCAAGAAAACTGGTTCTTGTTCTCAGGCAACATCTGTTTTTTCACTGGCTCCTTTCTCAGAGACCTTCATATCCAAGGAAGGATTCTCAGCTGGCTTTTGCACGAAGTTGGAAAAACTGCCATATATCCATAGACTTTTGCAAAGGGATGGGCCATTAGAGTATAGGTCTCGGTCACCACAAGAGCTGCCTTGTTGCTTCCCCCTACATCTTTTTTGAGTTGTAAGTAGATGGAGGAAGCAGACTCCTCCAAGGCAGAGAATCCTTTGCAGAGCAGACCCAAATCTCTGTTTCTCAATCACAAAGTCCACAGAAGTGGTCTGTAAGAACCTGAAACTGTTGCTACCAGAATCCTAGGGGTCTCAGGTATCTGGTTTGGGGTCTTGGAAAGTGCCCAAGTCAACCTAGTTCTTTCCATTGCATTCTCAGACTGAAGATGATCTATATGAGGACTGGGTCGATCTGGACAAGATACAGTATTTGCACTCTTCCTACTGTGGAACTTGCAGTGTCTTTAAAGACCCTTACAGTAGTACCCCTGCAGACAAAAAGTTCAGGTCCCCCTTTGAAGGTGTCCTTTTCCATGGCCTTACAACCCAATAGCATCTATGGGGGTTTATCAGACTTTGCTAGGATGGGCAAAGATATTGGCAAAATACCCTGGAGCCCTTAGGTCCATTCATTGGCCAGGCAGCATTTGGAGTTCCTCACTGAAGCATTGCTCTTCTTTATGTATGGGTTACGAGATTCTCTTTGACAACTCTCTGGCTTGGGGCTTATATCCATGCACATGAGGTGAGAGCTGTGACAGAAGCAGAGCTTCCCTGCAAGAAACAGTTGGGAAAATATGACTTTTGTGAGTGAACTCTCTTTTTGCAATGCTCTGGATTCATTTATCCAAAAAATCACAGGAGGAAAACGCACTCTTACCTCTAAAGAAGCAGCAGATGCCTTTGCAGCAGAAACTGTCTTCATCTAAACTCAAGAAGGTTTCCTTTCATTTGTTTCAGAACTCGGTGGCCAAAACAGCATTTTATTTTTGGAAGAGTCCTGAAGCTTCGAGCCTACCAAGACTGGCAACAAACTTTATTCCTAATGAAGGGGCATCCCCACTTTGCAAATTGGGTAATGCCTGGTGACTTTGGAAGCCATGTAGACACAAGATGTCTTAGTTCAAAATGCTGTGTCCTGAGGCTAAAAACTGGAATTTTGTGCCTTGCCTCCTTCACGCTTTATACTGTCAAATGTGTTTACTGCACTTATCAAAAAAAGCAGCCGTGTTAGCTGCTTTGGATCAGTTGTGCTCTCAGGGGGTCATTGCCTGTTCCAGAAGCAGAAAGGCTACTATTCCAACCTGTTAATGGGCCCCAAGCTAAATAGTGTTGTGTGTCCCATTCTGGACCTGAACCATTTGCATAAGTTCTTGCACATTCAAAAGTTTAGTATGAATTCTCTTTGGTCAGTGGTTGCTTCCCATGATCTGGGGGATTTCCTTGTCTTGGTGGATATCTAGCTCCACATCCCTATATATCTACTTCATCAGTCTTACGTTCACTTTGTAGTGGGGAAAACCATGATCAGTTTGTGGCTTTTTCAGCCTGGTCACAGCACCGCGAATATTCATGAAATTGTTGGCCTCAATTTTGTTCTAAAAGACAAAGGGTTTCCCATCCTGGGCTATCTAAATGATCTACTCCTGCAGAAGCACTGAGGAGACAAATGTGCAAGTGCTGCAGGTCTTGGACATGAAACTTAGGGTTCTTCCATTTCCTGTGAAGACCCACTGCATCAGAAGAGTCAGGTTTCCTGGGCTTTTCAGCATCAAGCTATGATTTCCCAGGTCTGTAGGATCTTTCAGTTTTACCTTGTGGATGTTCAGGCCTTGGTTGTAAAGTCTTATGGTCGGCCCTGTAAGGTGTGTTCTCAGTTATTATGCATCTTATTCTTCGATGAGCATTGTTCCTGTTGAGCATGTTAGCCATTGTTTTCTGTTGCTTTCCCCTCATGGGATTGCTTTTGGACATCCTAATAGTCTAAGAATTATCTCTTCTGTGCGGTACTATTAAGAAAACAGGATTTTCAACTTGCCAAGCTGGTCCAAACGAACTACTTTCTTCAGTAAGACATGCAGCAGCTCTGAGCTGTATGGACTGTATGTAGCCTCCGTTACATACAGTATACACTGCTGTTTTTGTCAGTGGGCTGGAGACTTCCTATCCCACACCAATAACAAAATTTAGCTGGGGTGAGTACTGCTCCGCCATTCACAGGGAGCTTTGTATTTTCTTGAATGAATACAAGGTTTTCCTGAGGTGGTGAGTGTGACAATATCCATCTGCCTTGGTCAGTCAGATCAAGCTTTGAAACCTCTCTCAAGGTCAATTTTCCATACTGTTTCGGGTTGCTGGTCCTGACAGCTTGGCTGAAGCCCAAGTCCTGAGGAACAGCGGTCTTGCCGACTTCTGGGTTTCCTCTTATGCTGGAGAGCCCTGTTTCTGTAAGAATTACCACCGCACAGGGACAGCTTCATCCCAGCATATACTCTGAAGCGCACAGGTTTTATCCTTCCATCAATCAGGACTTGACAAGTTCTTAGCCCTGAAGACTATAATTCCAGTATTGTCAGGTTGCCCTTATTGTGGTTATCATCTTGCAGCCACAGACTTGATTTTGCAGTCTGAAGTCTTGTTCATATTGTCTGAAGGCTCCTGGAAGGAGCAGTTAGCCTCCCAATCCACAATTGCTAGGTCGACAAATCATCACTCAGACCTATGACCCAAGTCTGTTTTTTGCAGACGTTTGAACATCAAGCTTCGTTTTCCTAGGTCTGTAAGTCAGCCACCTGGTCTTCTGCTGATACAGTTGCTGTTTTATCTGGTGGATGTTCAGATCTTGGTCAGAAAGTATTACAGGTGGCCCTGTAACGTGCCTTCTCAGTTATTACACCTATTGTTTAACAGCACTGTTCCTGTGGAGCATGTAAGCCATTGTTTTCTGTTACTCAACCCTCATGGGATTGCTTTTGGATGTCCCAGTAGTCTAAAAATGATCTCTCCTGTGATGTACGATTAAGAAAACGGGATTTTTGACTTGCCTGTAAAATCTCTGTCTTGGAGTATATCACAGGATATGGGTCCCTCCCCTCTGATTTTGCTCCAAATACTGCTTGCTAACAAAACAGGCAAGTGTGAGGGATTATGTTGGGCTTGAGGGTATCAAGCCCTGATGTTTGCCAGGGTCCAATCACCTGGAGGTTAAACATAACCCAATACTCTATCACTTAACTCTCCTATGATGTACTCCAAGGGATTTTACAGATTTGTTTTTGGAAAACTTAGAATTTTACAGGGGACCACGTCTTTTGCAGAGGAAAGAGCTGTGCTGGCCTTTTAAAGGAATTTTGCTTTGTATTGCCTCTCAAGCTATGCACAAGAATGTGAATAATCGTATCAGTATTTATTAATTTGTATGTCTGGACAAAATAAGAAAAACATTTAGCACATCTCTGCAGTGCATGCACATTTTACATGTTCTGTCTTCTTAAAAGTTCTACAAGTAAAAAAAAAAAAAACTGTTCATCCTGACAGAACTCCATTGAACTCTTACTAGTATTGTCAGCCCTGCCTAGGTTCTATGGATTAAAGAAACAACCATGTTCTGTAGTCCAGCAGTTGTTTTTTTGTTTCTTCTGCTATTATTTGTTGCCTTCAACACTCGTTGCCACAGAATGTTATCAATCCCACAAATGGAGGGGGTGTAGACTAGCAAAGCTAGAATTTGCTGCCCCTTCGCATACATATGTATGTATGTATGTATGTATATGTATGTATGTATGTGTATATATATATATATATAAAATGTTCCTAAGGTTATTGATGTTTACCATGTATACCCGAGCTCAAGTTTAAAGAAAAAAATTAATAATACACAGTAAGTGTACAAAAAAATGTGACCATGATGCAGCCATATTTTCTATCTTGTCCTAAGTACATCTGAGTAGTACAAAAAAAAAAATCAGATATCAGATCTGTTCTCTGAAAAATAAGTCCGACAGAATCTAACTTGTCCATATTTGAGACAGTATATGGGCATCCCATAGAAGGCAAACTCTTATCAAAGCTGCCCAGATATGACAACACATCTCAAGCACTTGCACTTACATATTCCCTTTTGATGTTTTTCAGCTGCTGCCCAAGTGCGTTGCTGGTATCTGCACCGTCCACACTTACATGGTCTACTGTAGATTCGTGTGGCATCTGTAAAATATAAATTTTGTTAAGCGGTAATTACTTTCATTAACGTTTCTGCATATATTATGTAAAATGTCACATGTTAGATCACAGATGAAATGAGAACAGGATTCACCAATAATATTGGAGCAAAACAAAGTGCCAGTGGTTCCCATCAAGGGCTATTTCTGCTATAACACAGCCCTCCAAAAACGGGCCTCTGTCAAAAATCTTTGCTGGGCAAACGCAGCATGAATATGATATCCGTTTGAGACACTAATGAGAATTTATTGTAAATGTAGTTCACCTGAATTTGACTTTCACCTGCTTTTGAATTTCCATAGACTTATACTGAGAGAAAAGCAGTTCTGAAGGAAGCAAACCCCATCAATACAGGACTTTAGAAGGTGCAGTAGTCCATTCCCTATCTGTGCTGATTTCCATCAAGATGGTAAATAGTCCCATAAAAAAAGTAGTCTTTCAATATTGTCCAGCAAGGCGAAAGGAGGGGACATTGCAATATTCATAATTATTGTGCCATTTCCTTTTCTTGCTTTACAATTCCTATTTCAGGGGGGCAGCCTTCAGCTCCTATATTATGCCTCTCCTCCAAAGGTGAGAACCTACACACAGCTGCATTCTAAATCCGCTTCAGGCCAACCAATACCCCTGCTAAAACGTTCCCATCCTACAGGGCTGGTTGCAGAGGTAATGGAAATAACCCCTTACTACAAGCCTACATTGGGCTGACAGCTTGGCAGTAAATCTGTATAGCACACTAAACATAAAAAAAGCTACAGTATGTCTACCTAACACATTTATGTAAATGGGGTGAGGATATGCGTGGTACAAACAGACTTTGCTGTCACTGCATATCTTGGGAGGAACACAAGTTATTGGTAAGTTCCAGCATGTCCGACCAATTGATCCCCCTCCCAAGTTCATGATTGGGACCACCCTTTCAAGTCTATGGATAGCTTTACAATGAAGTCTAGGTAAAATGTAGTTCTCTATTCTCTCATGTGTATAAAGTGTTGACAACTTGATCATCTGGGTTTTGTCTCCATCATCGTGCAAAAATACAACTATTTAAAGCATGTGTTTATGGCTTCAGCCACTTCTCAAATCATCTGCAGCCACTCTCCAGGGAATAGGACCCAAATGGACAACCAAAATAACTGGGATGCAGCATTAAGTAAAACCAGATGATATTCCATGTGTCTTTAAATGCGGCGTAATGCGATGGCAAGGGCTTATGTTACATCCGCTCAATGTTGTTTTCTTTCTTCCCTGCTGCCAATAAATAAAACACTGTCTTAGCACCCCGTTTTAACAGCCGTTGGTACTGGTTATTTAATCAGAGTTAAGGCTACAAAGCCCTATATAACCAATTTATAATTGTCTTTGGAAGAAATTGTCATCTGGTAAGTTACAAGGGTCAGTATACTAAAATGTATCCAATTTTGGGGTAGAGAGGACTCACCAGTACAGGCAGCGCACGGAACAAGTAGCTGAAAGGATAGTAGAGGAGGTTCAAGAAGGTAGCTGCATACAAATCAGCATAACGCATTAGCTGGCTGGAGAAGAGCGTCTGCCGGGACCCGCTGCGAAACAAGCTGCCTGTCTTCCCATAACACATGTCCATTTCATGAGTAACTCTCTGTGTACACAGCGATGAGAAAAGTCAGGTAGGCCTTGTTTTCCATTTCAATACTTTCATGACAAATGTTTTATGTTAATATCAACATACATATCACATCATTTTATTACATTTATTAACATTGTTAGTTATATTTTATTTTGTACACTCCTGTCCTTGACTTAAAAATCATTAAAGCCGAGCTCCAGCCTTACCTTGTAGAGTTGTACAGGCTCCTCACCTTTACTGATTATTCTTACTCAAATTTCAAAGCACACAGTGTGCAGTAGAAGCTCTAGCATGTCAGATAGAGACCCTCATTTCCTGACATCAAGCTTTAACTTGCCCTTTCCTCCCCAGCCAAACTGTTCCTGCCCTCCATCCCCCTTTCATTCATTGGATTTTGGTTCTTTTTATTTTAATAATGTTTATTGGTTTTAACAAGTAATAAACAGGCAATTGTCCAGCCCACGCAGGGGCAAGCAATGACAATCATAATCGGAATAGGCACACATAAAGGCAAAGGTGGCAATACAGAGGTACTATAAAGTAGTCAGAAACTGACACAACAGCAGCAATGCAACACACTTCGTAGAGTTCAAAGGGTACAGGGTCAGGAGAGACCACCCTATGGTGGCAGGGGGCACCCTAGGCTGCCAACACCCTTGCAGAGCGGCCATCTGCAATTCATGTGGAAACAGGAGGATAAGGGCGAGGAACCCAAGCGCAGAAGAGGCAAGACTAGAGGGTAGAGCAGCAGGTAAGAAGGAGCGCATACCTATAGATGAGATAGAAAGAGGATAGAAAAAGGAAAGTATTGGCCCGAGTGTCAGAAAGTGGGAAATTCGGCCGAATTTTGTTTTATTTTGGATTCGTTTACGTTCATTACTTTTGTAATTCGTTATTTGAATACATCCGAATAACTAAAAAATTCATCCGAAATGTGATTCGGAATGAAACAAACCGCACATGATACCAGCTTTTATTGGCTGACCATAGAGGTAATCAGAGACGGGTACAGCTCTGATCACTTCTATGGTTTAGGACACCAGACGTGATGAATATTTATCACTTCCTGTTTCACCTGATATAAACAATTCCATTTTTAAAATGGGAAAGCATCTGATCACACTGATCTTGGTGTGATCAGATGCTTTTAGGGCATGGGAGACATCTGGGGTCTAAAATACCCCATATTTCTTTTACAAAGAGTACCTGTCACTGCCTATTGCTATCAAGGGATATTTATATTCCATGGTATAATAAAAGTGATAAAAAAAATAAAGTGACAGTATAAAAAAAAAAACAAATTACAATAAAAAATTAAAGTGCCCCTGTCCCCCCGAGCATTGGTCCTGCACGTGTGCAAACAGCGATCATCCCACACCTGTGAGGTATTGATGCAAATGCCAGATCAAGGACAATTATTCTAACATCAGACCTCCTGTGTAAAGTGGTAACCTTTAAAGGCTTTAAAGCGTTGTTTATGGTTAATAAAATTTACATAATTTTAAAGCGTGGTATGTTTGGTATCTATTTACTCAGCATAACATATTTTCTATTTTACCAAACAATTTCATATTATATTGTGTTTTTGTGCATTAACATTCAAAAAAGTGTATTTTGTAAAAAAAATTGCATTTGAAAATCCACTTAAAAATTGCAAAACTCATTTTTTTTTTTTCTCTACGGCCTCTGCTTTAAAAAATATATAAGGTTTGGCGGCTCTCAGTAATTTTCTAGCAAAAAATACTGATTTTTAGATGTAAACAAAAAGCGTCAAAAAAAGGTTTGGTCTTCAAGTTAGTAAACCCCTGGGCTGCTGGGGCTCAAAGGCAACACACTAAATACCAAGGGGCCACAGGTTTGGCACCAGGGCTGTAGATAGGTGAAAGACTGTGTAATTATTATGGCTAACTGCACATTTACATGCAAATTCAACAAGTTAATGGCCAGAGAAGTAGAACAAATGTACCTGAATCTGTTTCTGAATTTTGCTGATATTGGGGTGCTCACTACTACTACTATCCATGTCCCTGCAAGAAAGAGAATATTAGTAGTCACAGTTTATAGAATGGCAGCACATAAAACTGACTTTTACAGAAAGTTACCTTTGCATATTTCATCATATGCGCAGTTTAGATCAATATCTAACAGGTTAATATAAAATAACAGTTTGAACATGCACATAGGACTTACTGGTATAATTCTGCGAGAAAGATATCCAGACTCTTCAGCTCATTGAACAGCTCTGAGAAAACAACAATCCAATTGACAGTTTAAGTTTTATTACGGTATATAGAGCAAATGTAAATCTAACTCATAAAGAATCCCACAGGGTAGAGTTTTGTAATTAAAATTCTGTTTATAGTACGAAATGATAGTGGACACGCAAAAAGAATGTGGCACAATAAGCACGCCAAACTATTAGCGAATTCCCTGTAAGGTTGACATATATGTTTTTCAATCTCTGGGGAATGGTGTATAACTTTATAAGACCAGTCTCAATCGGAAAAAAGCACAAACGCAAGTGGGAATGGGGGATTCAGGCAGCTTGTAGACTTGCAGTGTGTTATATAAATACATACAGTTAGGTCCATTTATATTTGGACAGAGGCACAATTTTAGTTTTTTTTCAGGTATTTACCAAAACATATTCAAACTATAGCTATATAATAGATATGGGATGAAATTGCACACTCTCAGGTTTAATTTGAGGGTATGTACATCCAAATTGGAGGAAGGGTTTAGGAATTACAGCTCTTAAGAGTGGCCATCCCCCCTTTTTCAAGGGACAAAAAGTAATTGGACAATTGAATCAAAAGCTGTTTTATGGCCAAGTGTGGGCTACTCCTTTGTTATTTCTTCATCAATTAAGCAGGTAAAAGGTCTGGAGTTGATTCCTAGTGTGGTATTTGCATTTGGAATCTATTGCTGTGAACCTACATCATGCATTCAAAGGAGCTGTGCATGCAAGTGAAACAGGCTATTGTAAGGCTTCAAAAATGAAACAAATCCATCAGAGAGATATCAGCGACATTAGGAATGGCCAAATCAACAGTTTAGTATATTCTGAGGAAAAAAGAACGCACTGGTGAGCTCAGCAACATAAAAAGGCATGGACCACCATAGAAGCCAACAGTGGTGGATGATCGCAGGATCCTCTCTATGGTAAAGAAAAACCCATTCACAAAATCCAGACAAGTAAGAAGGACACTCTCCAGAAGGTGGGCATATTATTGTCAAAGTCTACAATCAAGAGCAGACTTCACGAGAGCAAATACAGAGGGTTCACCACAAAGTGCAAACCATTCACAAGCCTGAAGAATAGAAAAGCCAGATTTGACTTTGCCAAAAAAACATCTAAAAAGCCAGACCAGTTCTGGAAAAGCATTCTTTGAACAGATGAAATTAAGATTAATCTGTACCACAGAATGATGGGAAGTGTGCAGAAGGCTTGGAACAGCTCATAATCCAAAGCACACACAATGTCATCTGTAAAACATGGTGGAGGCAGTGTGATGGCATGGGCATGCATGGCTTCCAGTGGCACTGGGTCATTGGTGTTTATTGATGATGTGACAAAAGACAGAAGCAGCTGGATGAATTCTGTAGTGTTTAGAGATATACTGTCAGCCCAGATTCAGCCAAATGCAGCAAAGTTGATTGGATGGCACTTCACAGTACAGATGGACAATGATCCAAAATACACTGCAAAAGCAACCCAGGGAGCTTTTGAAGGAAAAGAAGTGGAATATTCTGCAATGGCTGAGTCAGTCACCTGATCTCAACCCCATTGAGCATGCATTTCACTTGCTAAAGGCAAATCTAAAGGCAGAAAGACCCAAAAACAAAGAACAACTGAAGACAGCTGCAGTTAGAGCCTGGCAAAGCATCAGAAAGGAGGAAACCCAGTCTTTGGTAATGTCCATGGGTTCCAGATTTCAGACAGTCATTGCCAGTAAATGATTCTCAACAAAATCATAAAAATGAACATTTTATATACAGAATGATTATATTTATCTGTCCAATTACATTTGAGCCCCTGAAAATGGAGGGACTGTGTATAAAAATGGTTGCAGTTCCTAAAATTTGTACTTGATATTTATGTTCAACCCCTTGAATTAAAGCTGAAAGTCACCAATTCAAATTAATTTGGATTGTTTCCTTTTAATTTTATTCTGGTGGCATACAGAGCCAAAAGTATGAAAATTGTGCCTGTGTCCAAATATGTATGGACCTAACTGTATATTAAATATTCACTACAGTTAGTTATTTCACATTTTTGTGGAATATTTAGGTGTGTTTACTAGTAGGTATAAACTATGTTTACGTGGTATAAACTATGTAACAAAGCTAAGCACTTTTAGAAAGCCCTCTGCAGCCTAAACTGCAGTGTTGGTTATACAACTAAGGTTGCATCCTGGATACCTACCAGCAGCTACAGGCCACCTTCACCTGCTACTACTGAACCATAACCACAGCGGTCTTCAGGCAACCAATCATTGACTCTTACTAAACATAATGTTTGTCTTTTTTTTCCTGTGGGTTTTGAGTAACTGACTAAGAATTGCACACCTTAGTTGTCTGGGTTGTAGGTGGTTTACTTGGGGGACAGAAAACCATTTAGATTTACCACTATTTGTTCCCTTTCAAGGCAGATGTCTAAAGTATAACTAAAGGCAATTTATTTTGTTTTGGTTTTGAACAGAGTGGAGAGAGATAACACCTGTCAGTTTTTACTGCTCAATGTTCCCCAGCTAGAGAGATTTAACCTTTATAATTGTCCTGTTTACCATATTTTCACAAATGAAAGTAAAAGAAAATCCAAATTTTGGTTTGTCCTCCAGTGGTGATACCATCTGGTGACAGCCAAAGATTCCCTCACTTTGGAGGGATTTCTTCCCACTTCCTGTTTTGGCTATGGGACAGGAAGTGAAGGGAAATATACCTAATAGGACACAGATGATAAAAAGGTTATGACCTCCCTTACTTTATCTAAAATGAAAACAAAAGTTATACCTTTAGTTCTGCTTTAAATACCCTTTATCAATAGCCTACACTTGCCCCTGTAGTATGAATCTGTGCTAAATCTTAGAATTGCTCTGGAGATTCTGGAAATGATGGTCTGTGGATGTCCAAAATCTTCCCCTACATTATTACTGATACTCACCACTTTTCTCAGTCCAGATACTAAGCTCTTTGGCCAGCTCAGGCACAACTAGAAACGTCCTCCATCCCTGCCTTTTCTTTGACTTCAAAATGTCCCCAAATATGTGATCTCCCACATAGAGGATTTCCTTCCCCTTCACTCCAAGGAGGTCACCCACAATGTCTGAAGAACCTGGCAGAGAAAGATTGGGGAATTAACCAAACTGGAAATGTTAATCAGAGGTATCCATACATTTGTCTTATATATGAGCACATACAGTACACAACATCTTTTTTGAGTCTATACCATTGTATTGTATAATGATTTGGAAGATGATCAGCTCCAGTGTCCTTCTATGAAGCTGTGGTGAACGCCATGCCGAAGAGGGTTAAAGCAGTGCTTGAAAATAATGGTGGCCACGCAAAATATTTACACTTTGGGCCCAATTTGGACATTTTCACTTAGGGGTGTACTCACTTTTGTTGCCAGCGGTTTAGAAATTAATGGCTGTGTGTTGAGTTATTTTGAGGGGACAGCAAATTTACACTGTTATACAAGCTGTACACTCACTACTTTACATTGTAGCAAAGTGTCATTTATTCAGTGTTGTCACATAAAAAGATTTACAAAAATGTGAGGGGTGTACTCACTTCTGTGAGATACTGTATCTGAATACAAATTCCAGACATCCAACATGTCTAAAGGTTTTCACTTATCCAGGTCATGGTATATCAATGACAGTTAAGCAGTTCATAGATTATGGAATTTTTAATCAATTCCCCTATAAACACAGCTAATGTTGATAGGGGAATCCCTCCCAAAGCGCTATTGTGTTCTGACGGCGGGGAGCCTTTCCAGTCGGCAGAACACAGTGATTACCGTTAGCGAGCCTTTCCATCGATCCATGGTAGACTTTAGTTACATTCAACTGGACTTGTTCTGTAATGCTAAAGACATTTGGTAGCTTATCCACTTTTTCAGCTCTAACGAGTGTCATAAAAATACCATAAAATTTATACCACCACAGTTAGAAAAAAGTTTCTCTTCCCATTGTGATTGGATCATCATGTCGGTTGACGCTTGAATAAGCTACAAACATATTCAAATCCATCTGAATGTGACTAACTACTACTAGATACTAACAGTTTTGATAAAAAGAAATTTGTATCAAAAAGTACCTTTAGACAAAAGAAAGTAAAATGAAATATCTCCTATGACAAGTTCCTATAAAGACATGCCTGTTTCCCTGCAGTTTATTCCATTCCCAATCGTTATTTTAATTTTTTTGCAAATGCAAATTTAAAGGCAAACAGAATAGCAAAACTGAATGAATACTTCAAGAATTATTTTAAAACTTGAAAAACAAGCATAAAGAAACTCTGCATTCCAGGTCAGTACTTTGCGCTGGTATGCACATATGCGTGCAAACATACACATATGAGCATAAATATTAATGGAATTTACATAGGAATGTTCTGTACGCGTTAATGCTCATACGCACAAATACGTACAAAACGAACGTCTGAAATTACGTCCACAAATGCCAATGCTCAAGCATCAGTAGTACCATGTGCAAGAGGCCTTAAAGTGGTTCTAAAGCCTTAAAGTTTTTCACATTAATGCATTCTATGCATTAAGGTGAAAAACCTTCAGTGCTGCAGGTCCCCCCAGCACCACCTATTTGTTACCTGAGCCAGATCCAGCGATGTGCAAGAGAGCAGCGGTTCTAGCCACTGTCTCCCTCCTCATTGGGCAGATTGATCATATATGTAGTGTTTCTAACCTGCTCTACCAGTTTTGGGGGGGGTTTGTGAATGGCAGGGAGGCTTTTTTGCTGTCTTGAGGGCTCTGTGGAAGAAGGAAGTCAATAACCTTCCTCCTTCCTCAGTTCACCGGGGATTCTTTCCTCTCTCCCTGATTCTCCACCTCTGGGCTGAGATTGCACCTTCATTAACTGGTCATTTTCTGTTTCTGTCAATGACAGATTCTGTGTGCTGAGATGATCAGCGAAGAACATGTTCTCCGCTGGTCATCTCAGTTTCATAAATCGCTAATGAACTGAGATGAGATCATCAGGAGCGCAGCTCATCTCAGTTCCATAAACGGACACCTGAGGGTGTGTCAGTGACTAACTGTATGAGGGGATGAGAGATGCTGCACACTACTAGCTCAACAGGTGAAGATAAATGTGAACGACCTCAGCCATGAGCTCCTTCTGAGGCTTGCCTCTGATCTATTATGATGCAGGGTGTGACGGGAGTGACTTTGGGTGGGGAGCCCATGGAACACAGCTCACTTTAGAGAGGTGGGGAGACCCCTGTCTCAGCTCCCCGTATCCCTCTTATGTGTAAGTCACCCTGTGCCTGTTAGGGGTGCATGGTGAAATGTCCTGATATTGTGTAGACATGTATAGGTGGGGGTTGTTCATTGTTTAATGCCATGTGGTTGTATCTCATTGTTCCATTGTGTGTCTTGCTTGGGAGCAAACTATTATGGGATGTGTTTTTGTATTGGCTTGGTGGGGGGTGTTTCTGGCAGCCCTTCCCCCTGATGGGACTGCCTGCTGATGTGTTTCTTGTTGTTAATGGGTGTGTATTGCCCCGCCCTGTGTATATATCTTGCCTCTGTGTTAAAATAAAGTAGTCTATTTTCTGATTTATTTCAAGACTGGTCACGTCTAGTCTCGTATGGCCAATGGTGGTGTCCATGGATCTGTGTTCGGACAGGGATGCGGTAGTCTAACAGAAATACCCTAGTGCAGTCGGGGGCCAGTTCCGTTACACAGGGTATTGTCATTGACCGTTTCACCAAAAGTGGACTTGCATTTTGCACATTCACCTTCCATACATTCCCCCAGTACCCTATTTCCCACAAGGCCCCCATACCCAAATCACTTTGTATCAGTGTGTAAGCTTCAACCTAGCTTAGAGTTTACACAGAACTTAGGGAACGCCCCTACCGTCACCACCATGTCCTACATTATGGTGCTCAGGTGTGAGGAATGGTCTATCTAGTACAGAGCACTGCCATGTCAGAGGCAGAGAAGAGAGTCATATATTTCCCATACCCAGACATGTAAGGTAAATACAGGTTCCTCATCATGCCTGTTATTGAGCAGGTCCTGTCACTTTTCTTCTTATAAATTAAGCATGGATTCAATTAAAAGAAGTGAAGAAAAGTTAAATCATCAATCTGGCTATATTGAATGATTTGGCAGTAAATACATACAAGTAGTTACACTGTGTATGTTCTGTATTCACATCATTGTGTTGAGTAGGGAGCCATATATTGAGCATTCACTGCAATTACTTCCTTTTTTGTACTTTTGTCAATAAGGAACAGGAAGTGTCTCATGCCTTATAAAAATAAAGATTTCCCATCCACCACTGCATTTCCACTTTAGCTTCCAGAAGAACACACCAGTGAAGATCTCCCTTTGATACACATATGCCTGTAAGTTCATTTGTTGTGTTTGTTAAAGTCACATATATCTAGATTGCATTTAAATGTATTTAATGTGATTTGTAGGTAGCTATTTGCAAGAAATGTGTTCATTGTATGCATTTGTGAGAGATGTGTCTACAGTCATATTGTAACTTCAGTTTGTTATTGTATTGCAGTTTTACGGAAGTAAATTCAGTTTTGGAATGAAACACAACGCTGCTCCTGTCAGTTGTGTTAGCTAGCTGTCAGCTAACCTTTAGTAGGACAACATAGTGTACATAGAATGGAGAGGGATTAAAACACCTATTAGATTTTTATTGCTGTCTATGCCCCTGTTAGAGAGATTCAGTCTCTCTATTTGTCATGTTTACCAATATCACCTAAAGTGAAAGGCAATGCCAAATTGTGGATTGCCACCAAAACAGGGATGGAGGTGAAATTTTCCAATTGGGACACTAGTTCTGGTGACCCTGATGAAAACCAGGAATTCCCTGTTTTGCAGGGATTTCCTGTCACTTCCTGTCTTAGCTATGGGACAGAAAATGAAGGGAAATTTCCCCAATGTGACCCAGATGGCAAAAAAAAAAAAAAAAAAACTTTACAGGGGTTATAACCCTTCCTTACTTTATCCAAAATTGGGAAAACAAGGTTTGCTTATAGTTTTACTTTAAAGAAGATCAGACACTAACTATTGACTGAATAAATTTGCACCAAAATGTCCTGTATTTCCATCCTGTCATTACCCCTACTTATTCATCCTGCTTTTCATAAGGACGTACAAATATCTATGATCAAAGACCAAGCATCATGGGGCTCTCCAAAATGTACTGAGGGGAAAAACCCAGGACACCTACCTCCAGAGTACACTGCACAGTGCTGGTGAGGACCTGTGTAAGTTCCAATCTTCAACTTTCCATTATCCTATAAAAACAACATTGATTGTGTAAATTGCCAAAGACCAAGTTAATTTATTTCCATTTGGTTTAATTTCACAAAGATGATTTGAGCTATTGGAACAAATCAAAATCTTTTTTAAAATCCAGATCTTACTGTGTTGACTTGACGCAGAACTGTCCCCTCAGCAAAGAAGAGTGGCTTTCTCGTGTCCACAACAATCAAATCAAAATATGAGCGCCATCTTTTCCCGGTTGGGTCTTTGTACTACAAAACAGTAATGAATAGAGGAAGAAATATTACTGAACTCAACATTGAGCAACATTTATCAGACACAGTTTAACTTTTAAGAAAATGGTTTGACTTACAATCTCCAAAGCTGGGAGATGGCCTGACTCAATAATCTCACTTTGGTCTAACAGTTATATTCATGCATTGTAGTTATCATTACAATTACACAACATGCCAAACATAAAAAGCAGATCTTTGTATTTTGCTTCTAATGCAGGCCATAGACGGGTCATTTATCGGACGAATGTTCGTCCGCACAAAAAATCGGCCGATATTCACGGCGTTAGTGGGGCCAGCCCGTCGGCCGTTGTTTTTTTATAGGTCATGCTGGAAAATCCATGAAAAATGGCCGTTTTTGGTGGCAGCATCAGCAACGGGCCCGTCTATGGTCAGTCTTACACTAGCCTTGCACAGTATATCCAGTCTGATTGAACTGGACAGAATTCACTTACAGTTGTGCAGTGTATAACATATACTATAATATTCACTGAATCTGCAATCAACAAATTATTATCAACTTGTCTAAAATAGATAAGTATTTAATGTATATGCAATTCCAAGCAATAAAAGCTTATAGACTTTTTACAATGTAATTTTCAACACTAAATTGGTAGTTTTCGTTAAAAAAAACCTGGTAACTCTGACATAAAAGGCCTTTGTTCAGATATTTCATATTAAAGGTGACAACACTTTGTCCATGTCTCTCAAATGTGCTCCAGAGTTGTCACCCTGTCACATAGACTTCCAATAGAGGCTAAAAGTGACTGCGTCAGCACACTCTCCACAGCCATGGTCCACTGTGGTCACCATCAGGAAACCTATTTTGAGAAGTGCCATGAAAGCCGTCACTGTAAGTAGATAGGAAGCAGTTCCTAGAGGCTGCATGTAATCAATAGCACTGAGTTGTAATTAAGGTTAAAAATGATGAAAACAGGTATTTTTCGTCTTAAAATCATTGCAACCATTTATAATGCACAGTGCTTTAGCCAACTAATTGTCCTTCAGGGTATAAGCCTGGGTTCACACTGATGCGGTGCGGAATTTGCAGCGTTTTCCGTGCGCATTCCGCACTGCATCACAATCGCACCCCATTCATGCGAGCTGCTGCGGGTGTGTATGTTAATTTAACAACACCAACAAAACGCAGTGTGATGAGCAGAATCAGATCGCATGGGTGTGAATACCCATGCGATCCGATTCTAGTGAAGACTTGTAGTTTGACAACAGCTGGAGGGCCGCTAGTTTGACACCCATGTGCTAAGGCAACAAGCCAGAACCTGGATTGACTGCACTGTCACTGGTGCTAGTTACAATGTGTTGGAAATGCACTAAAACACATTCCATAAATATCACAATGGTGCCGCGCTCCTAATTGTTATTAATTAAATATCATAAAAATTGTTTTAAATTAAATCCATATAATAGTGTAAACACAATATATATATAAAAAAAAATGAAGTGCACCCATAAAGTGATAATTAATTTTTTATATATATATTGTGTTTACACTATTATATGGATTTAATTTAAAACAATTTTTATGATATTTAATTAATAACAATTAGGAGCGCGGCACCATTGTGATATTTGTTGAATTTTTATGCACATTGGATGAGTATGTGTTTGGTGCTGACGAACCTATCTTATAATTAATTGGTGGCTCACAAGATTTCTATTTCAAAACACATTCCATGTTTTCATGAACTGACATTGCCACCAAATGGGGCTAAAATGTAAATTGATGCACAACAAACAGACCTGCCAATGCACTAGCTTCATTAAAAATAATGGCAAAGCTATGTGCATGCATTGATGGGCATTCCAACACCTGTTAATGAGCATAGGTGTGCACAGGGCCTAGGTGTCAACCTATTATAAGTCCCTGATTGAGGTGTTATATTTTTTGTAACCTATTTCTCTGTAATATGTATCTATGAAATGAGCCCTTCCCCTGCTGTTTACAGTCTAATTCAACCACGTGGGGCACTGATTGTAGAGAGCATATCCACGGCGGCCAGAAGTTAAGAAGGGAATTAAAGTAGGTTTATACCGAGTTATACAGAACAGCTGAGCTTCTTCTTTTACTAAAACTCCAGCCATCCGAAACCTTCAGACACTTACAAGTGGCACTTGGTAGTCAAGTTTGAAGGTACTAACAAACATTGTCCAAAATATCAACGCTTGTTACCTTCAGCTGTGTACTTCAGATTAATTAAGAGAAAACCAGGGTGAATCCTAAAACAAATAGAGAGCTAATTACAAGAGTAATGAGGATTTGGAGGGGATTAGGAGGGTATCAGCCTAACCTGACACAGCTGTGCTTGAATAGCACACACTTCATCACACAGGCCTGGTGTACTGTCAGCCAGTAACATAATAATCAAGATATGTCACAGATAGGTCCCCAATGTCCCAGAACAGGTGATTAAATCATTGAAGAGCCAGACAGAAAATAATACAGTTAAGTAAAGTCGTCTATGTGCATTTTATACCCTGGTCTGTTTAGAAACCTACAGGCGTAACAGCATATACAGGTCCAGAATTCCTTTTTAGGAAACATGCTAGAGAAATACAAGGCCATTGCTGATTCCCTTCTGAAAATGCTAGTTACCTGTCTCTCTTTCAATGTGGTTCTTGCAACCATTAATGTGGAAAAAGCATGTGAAAAGTAACTTGTTTATTGTAGAACGAATTAAAGCCAATGGATCAGTATAACAACCAGGCAATTATAATTTTTTTTTCAGAGGGAGAGGTCAGCAACTGCAGCCTGTCACATGGGGTGGACTCAGCTTGTGATCTGCTTGCTCAGCGGGGGGTTTGTCTGTTGATCCCCAGCTGAGGAGGGGTCCATGTCTTCTCTGCTTATTCAGCCTGGGTTCACATATATGCAGTGCGGTATCTCACCGCATTCCTGTGCAAATCACAAGTAATTTGTGTGCAGTGTGATTGGAGGCATTATTATTATACAGGATTTATATAGCACCAACAGTTTGCGCAGCGCTTTACAATATAAGGGAGACAGTACAATTATAAAACATTTCAGTACAGAAGGAATAAGAGGGCCCTGCTCATGGAGCTTACAATCTAAAGGAAGGGGATACATTTTGTATGGCTCTGATCGCACCGCAACCTCACCAAAAAGGTGCAGGACCCTTTTTTGGGCCAGCACTAGAATCAGATCGCATGGGTATTCACATCTATGCGATACGATTCTGCACATCGCACCGCATTTTGTGGACCGCTTTTGGGGTGTTGTTAACTTAACATACACACCTGCAGCGGTTCGCATGAATGGGGTGCGATTCTGATGCGGTGCGGAATTCGCACAAAAAAAAACCGCTGCAAATTCTGCACCGCATCAGTGTGAACCAGGATTCAAACACATCCCGCTCTGCTCTATGGGCAGTCGGATGTAAATGGACGGGCTGTCCTTTTATATCTGACTGCCCGACGATCTGCCCAGACAGAGGGAAATGGATCCCCTTCCATTTATTTTTGACAGATCAGATTGGAGATAGGCGGGTGTAAACGAACAGAAGTTCTTTTACACCCAATGCTCCATAGAGAAGAATGGAGGGTCCGATCGGGTCCGCCTGAAAAACGGACAGACGGACCAGCCCGAAATGTTCATGTGTAAGGAACCTAAGGCAGAATTCACACCTCTGCAATGCAGAACCATGTAGTAGAACATGCATGATACTAGGCATTACTGCAACAAACGGTAAGGTCACTCACACACTGAGCATTTGCTCAACTCCTCTGCATGCCTTTTCGCCTGGTAGGAGAAAAGCAGCTTAAAAATTTTTGCAAAGCCACGTGTTACACACACATTTAGGTGTGTTCGTGTGTTAATATATTCTATTGGCCAGAATATTAATTTATTCTGGTCGTTAGAATGTGTTAACGCCCAAATGCACCAAAGTGCTTCTAGTGTTTATACACGTTTATATGCGTTCCGTTTTTTTTTTTTCTCTCCTGAGCATGCTGGTAAAGTTACTTTTTTTCTGGCTGTAAATGTTCCCCTCGTTGCCTGTAAATGCCTATGTGTGCATGACATTGAGGTGCATTTACAGGCAAAAAAACCCAGCAAACTTTTTTCAAAGCGGCATAAGGCTTGGTTCACATATGTGTGGGTGGTGCCGCTGCGGATCTGCACGAAAATCCATGCAGCCGCACCACCCGCACAGAGGAATGCGGACCCGCGGGCGGGTGCCATTAGTTCTACTGGCACGCTGCCCACACTGGAAAACACAACCATACTGGGGACTGAGGTTCCCATGCGGGCTGCGTTTTCCAAAGAAGTGCAGGGACTTCTTCCCTGCGTGTCACCGGGCACGGGAGTCCATTTAAATAAATGGGCTCTCATGCCCACACAAAACGCGGCCCGCACGGCCAGGGGTAACACAGGAACTGTGATGTGTTGCATCGCACTTATTTCTAGAGAGTAGGTGTGTAAATTAATACAAGTCGATAGGGGACCCAGTGCATTATTGACTGGGCGTGTATAATAATAATTTTTAGAGGGGCCCCAATACACGTCCCCAACCCACCCCAATGGACCTGCATTTTAGCATGCCACAATTCACAGATGTGAACCATCTGTGTGTTGTTGTGCTTTGGCAAAAAAAGGGAGCAAATGCATGAAAAGGACAGCTGTAATACTACTGCAGCCCATTCACAATGAACAGGCTGTCTTAGGCTAAGTTCACACCTATGCAGTTTGCGTTTGACCCATTTCTGCAGTGCGGTTTGTGTTGTGTTTTTGCTCTTATGTTTGTGACTCGTTTTTGATTCGTTGTGTTTTTTTTTTTTATTGCTAGGCAGATCTAAAACACCGCAAAAATGCACTACATGCTTTGCTGAAGCATTTCCATTGAAGTCTATAGAACCAAAAATGCAACTTTTTGCATTCAAAAAAGTTCCTGACCCTTTCCAAAATATGCACCGGGTGAAAACGCAGAGATGTGAACGTGTCCCATAGGAAATCATGTTAAATGGACTGTAGCATGTTTCTGCAAAACACTGCGCAAAACGCTTAGGTGTGCACCTAGGGATATGGCAGTGCATGCTAACATGCCACATAATGTATGGTAATGCTACAATGTTACAAATCTTACTATAAATTGGTTTGATAGATATGTGCACACCTATAATATTATCAGTGTGTATTTGTGTAAATTGGCCAGTTTAATCCTTGATCTTGCCTGAGATACTATGGATACATAAACTGATGGATGAACTGGGGTACTCTAGAATGTTGATCACCAGTGCGCGTGTATATAAATATATCTCTTGTCATGTTGTTTTCCTATTGCTACAGGAGACTGTACGTTCTCTCGTCCTGTAATGAATGCGTGACAAATCCCAATGTTGTGATGGGCATTACTAGGAAAGGCTCAGGTTTATGGGGGATTTCTCACCGCCCTCTGAAGTGGGTATCCAGCCTAGGCAGCTCCTAAAAATAATCAGGTGCTCCAGTTATATCCACCTGTTGTTTTGTTGCAAGAAGTCAGGAATGGCTTAAATGTATCCAAGACAAGGCTTTGTATTATAAGAACTATGAGGCCCACTAATCAAAGTATCCAGAATAGTTGCCTATATTTCACCATAGCAACCAATTAAATCCAAATCCTCACATTCCTTTATTGTCTGGTGCAAGTCTGAATCAGTTGCTATGCAGAAAGAGAGTTCTTATTTCGATCGCTTTGATAAATGAGGCCCCGTGTTCATCTAAAACAATTAGAAGTGACTATTTTTAATCTAGATCACAAACACTAGAAGGGAGCTGCAGGGCTGTCTTAATAGCATCATGGGCCCCTGGGCAAAGTAATGCACTAGGGCCCCTAACAATTTGTCCCAATTTACACACCTACTCACTAGAATTAAAGTATAAATAGTTGATAGAATTAAACATACATGTATTGGTACTTTAAAAAAAATAGATTTTAAACAATAAGAAAACATGCCATAAATCAGACTAATCAACACAAGGGCACAGTACGGGGGAAGAGGGTGAGAAGGGCACAACACAAGGGGAGTCAGGAGGGCACAACACTGGCATCAGGAGGGCACAGTACAAGTTCTGAGTAGCTGACCAGGCCATCCTCGATCATCTTAGTAAAAAGAGTGACTGTCCCGGCAAATCCAGGACAGTTGGAAAGTGTTTTTTCTTTTTTATATATTTGAGGTACTTGTATAGTGCCATCAATTTACACAGAACTTTACATATATCTCATGCATTCACATCAGTACCTAACCCTCAAGGGGTGTACAATCCAAGGTCCCTAACTTACATTCATACATACACATACTAGGGATAGTTTAGACAGGATCCAATTAACCTACCAGCATGTCTTTGGAGTGTGGTAGGAAACCAGAGAACCTGGAGGAAACCCATGCAGGCACAGGGAGAACATGCAAACTCCTGGCAGGTGGTGCCTTGGTTGGGATTTGAACCAACGGCCCTAGTACTACCAGGTGGAAGTGCTAACCATTTAGCCACTGTGCTGACCAAGTATAATGTATTGCTAGATTATCATGGCCCCCCCATGCACCTGGCATTAAGACAGCCCTGGGGAGGTGTTGCTCGTATGGTCAACAGTAGAGATCTTGTGTAGTTGGGCACAGCTTATGCACTGAAAGACATTTGGGATGGTTCTGACTCCTTCTGAGCTGCTTTTGTATTGTCTTTGACTTGACCTGGGGAAAATAGCAAACAAATGTCCATGCACACTTGCAGTGAGCTACATTGCAGTGAAGTACAATGTACTTGATCTGCTGCAAGCACACTGCACTGCACCTGTCACACTTGGCACAACTGAAAAGGAGAAGATCGTGTTTTTCCATCTACACATTTAACACGCCGCTGAAAAAGGGAAACAATGTTAGCAGCTTTCAGGCCCTTCAGTTAGAAATTAATGTACCGTTTCCAATTGCCTGGAAGTAACTCCCTTGTGAACATCATGCCACTGATCATTTGGTTACAATCAGGGTGCCAACACTCTAATCCTCTAAACCTGAGTTTTCCATAGATATGAGAACATATGTGTATGCTGGCATGATTTGACTGCCCTCTGGCACTTGTAAGGGCAAAGCACTCCATGAACAGGAATGTTTGGTTTTGCTAAATGTTCCTGGTAAGAGATAGAGAATGGGGGATGTAAAGTGTGCAGACAAACTCTAATTTTGCTGCTCTTCTTCCATAGAAACAATAGTGATTGGAACAGGTTTATATTTGCTCTGTTCTAAGCTTTTACCTTAACTTGAGTCTAATTGTAATTCTGTCCCTTTTGACTAAACATAATTTATGGCTAAACCTGTTAAGGCTACCCAGTCCAAATCTGTGTCCATAGTAGGTTAGTTTGACTAATCTTTAAAAATGGTGTCAACACTGCTACACAAATAAGATAAAGAAAGTATACCAACCTTATCTTCTTTGTCATGGCCAAACAGATAGGACATAATAGCCTAGGGGGAAGAGGCAAAATGTGAGGCTGTGGAAATTACACATTGGTGATGTCAGGTCCTTGAGGATGCAAAGTTATACTCACATCTGTATATTTGTAATCACTGTTTGTGGCTAGAAAAATCTTTCCCACCTCTCTCATCCGACTCAGCAGCAAAGGTATTCTGTCCTAGAAAGGAGAGGAAAATGCAAACACATCAGAACAATATGAATATATATAAATGTAAATAAAAGTGCAGTGCTTATAATTAACAAATAATAAATCATATATCAGAACAATATGAATATAAATAAATGTAAATAAAAGTGCAGTGCTTATAATTAACAAATAAAAAATCATATATCAGAACAATATGAATATAAATAAATGTAAATGAAAGTGCAGTGCTTATAATTAACAAATAATAAATAATATATCAGAACAATATGAATATAAATAAATGTAAATAAAAGTTCAGTGCTTATAATTAACAAATAAAAAATCATATATCAGAACAATATGAATATAAATAAATGTAAATAAAAGTGCAGTGCTTATAATTAACAAATAATAAATAATATATCAGAACAATATGAATATAAATAAATGTTTCGCCAGTTTGGGCAGGTGTTAGTTGTTTTGTTCCTCCACTTTTTTGGTCTTTATATAAGTTAAGTAAGGCGTCACTTCTGTTAGGCCACTCCTGCTGATGATGTCAGCTCTGACGAAACGCGTCGGGCGGGGCCACGGGTTTTGCACAACATAAGCGGAGGAGGAAAACATTGTGAAGACTGTATGATCACTGCTTGGCTTTTATAAACTCTTGTGAGTAGTTTAATCTTTAATAAATTGTGAGTCCCTAGTGTTTCTATTTACGTTTATTGATATCATTGAGATGCTACGCCAGGAGGAACTTTGTTATTCAAGATGTACATATCCCAAGCATGGATTGATTCGAAGCCTTTATTGACCATACCCTAACTGATGGTTGTATCATTTGGTAAGGGTCCAATCACATGCACAGTGGTGGATTGATTGAAGTGTCCAGTTCTTTTTACCTTGATTCACATAGATTTGGAAGATTCTTTTTATTTTCTTCGTGAGGATAGCACTGAACTTGCACTTTTTATGGTGGACTTTTCATGGGAATTTTCTGTTTGCATTATATTTGTTTGTATATGATATTGCACAGTTTTATAGTATTTATTATTTGTTAATTATAAGTGCTGCACTCTTATTTACATTTATCCTTTCGAATTTGTATCATTACTCTTGGTGCTAGCTGCTACTACATATTGTTGCATCTGAGAGCAGAATTTTTATATATACATGAATATAAATAAATATGGGTATAGCATTCAACTGTCCCTTATTTAGAGGGACTATTCAAAATCCTAGTGGCTGCCCCTCTGCAATATTGAACAGTATTTCAATATCTACCATTTACATACCAAATGTGTTTTACTGCACTACATCTTTCATCCAACCGCTAAATTATTTGTTATTTTGAAAAACCAATATAAAAGAATACACAGTTTTTCTGTGTATTCTCAGGTTCTTCCACAATCTAAAAACTTACTAATAGGTTAAAAGAGAAGTTAAGGTTGTTTTTTTTTTTTTTTAAATTATACTTACCTAGGTGGATGCAGCATCGGTCCAATGCTTTATATGTCCCCCGCCAGCCCTAACACTTAGAATTGAGCAATCAAATCCTTGTGTCATCCAAGGCACGGTTAACCCAGAACAAAATGCATCCAGTAAGCTAAGCAACCAAATGCAATGCACAAATAAAATGAACAAACAAAACATCTTAAAATGAAAACAAAAAGAACTTACATCTTTGAGTAGGTATTTATCTAGATTCTTTAGTGTTTTCTCCTTCAGGCATCCCTATGGAAAATTATGCAAGAGAATTTAGAAGTGGATTACAACCTCTAGAGGATATTATATAACTGTATTCAGAAGCTTGTGAAATGTCAAGCATCTCTGAAAATATAGGTGTTGGCCTTCTGCACATGTGTTAGCCTTATGAGCATATTCAGAAAGCAAATGCATTGACACTCTAAGTAACTCCCAACCTGCACTGTTTTACACACTCCTGACCCCTGCAGTATTTGCATTTCATATTTCTGACCACTGCATTCTGGATGCTATATTGTAGAACAGTTGCTGATCGTTCAGTAATCAATTATTATGTTAATGAAGTACTTCTTTAAGACTATGTGCAGGCAGAAAAGTATATGCAATGGAAGAGTTAAATTTTTTGCAAATTATTATTATGAGGTTGATATGTAGATATATATATTTACAGCACAGTAGTTAAAGCAGAGTTACAATTGAAAAAATTAAAGTCAGCAGCTACAAAAACTGTAGCTGCTGACTTTTAAAATACTGACACTTACCTGTCCCTCGGTCCTGCGGTATCCTCACCACCGCTGGTTTCATTGGGCGTCTTCTCTCCCCGGCATCGGCATCTTCAGTGTGGGCAACCGGCTGTGACAGTTTGCGGCTTCACAGCCGGGTACCCACTGTGCATGCGCGAGAAGCGTTGCGCTTTGTGAATGGCCCCGTAGTCTTCTGGGACCTGTCACGTGTCCCAGAAGACTACAGGGAGGGAGGATAACTTCCCATCACCTTATGCGATCGCAGCGTAAGTGGGAGCGGGTACCTGTCAAATTCAGATGCACACTCCCCCCCCCCCCCGCTCCCCAATGGTGCCAATCCTTAATGGGGAGTGGGGGGCAATGCAAAGCCTTAAAGCAGAACTTCCCCTTTTGGGTGGAGCTCTGCTTTAAAGAATATTGTTTGAACACAAGGACTGTTGTATATGTTACCATGTACATAAAGAGTCAATTTTACCACAACTACAATTCACCGCAGCATACTTTGCCAACAATCTAATTATTTTCTCTTAGTGCCCAGGGCGGAATCCCCCCTTCCCTGGGAAAATTATCTATGGCTGTGAAGTCTACAGTACCCTGCAATGCTGCTAACTTTTTTTTTCCCATTGCCATGCTTTCTAAATGTATGAGCTGCCCTAAAATACGGCATGTTAATACGTAAAATATCACACTGATTCAGGACAGGCGGTAATTAGACACTCCCAGAAGAGGGGAGGGCTATGACATGGCAGAAGGGAGGGGAAACTGTGGCTGTGCTTAGTAATTGACTCTTCCTGATTTCCCTAAAATTTGAAGGCATACTGAAAATGAATAAATAATTGTTTATGCATCATTGTTCATGCTGCACGTATTTAATATACTTAACTTTGTGGTTTTATCTTCAGTTTATCAAGTTGCTTATGGGATATCCTTATTCATTAATAACTTTGGCTATAAGCAAAAATTTTTCCAGCCAGTTTGTTAAATAACCAGCCATTACTGGGCGACAATAATTAAATAATTAATTAATTAATTACAGGTACTTCTATAGCGCCGTCAATTTACGCAGCGCTTTACATATATATTGTACATTCACATCAGTCCCTAACCCTCAAGGGGTGTACAATCTAAGGTCCCTAACTCACATTCATATATACACATACTAGGGCCAATTTAGACAGGATCCAATTCACCTACCAGCATGTCTTTGGAGTATGGGAGGAAACCAGAGTACCCGGAGGAAACCCACGCAGGCACAGGAAGAACATGCAAACTCCAGGCAGGTAGTGCCGTGGTTGGGATTTGAACTAACGACCCTAGTACTGCCAGGCAGAAGTGCTAACCATCTAGCCACTGTGCTGCCCAGCCATGCTATGACTGGGCTACAATCATCTAATATCTACTAGCACCTCAAAGCTTTGGCTAGCATTGCACTTTAACCAATGGCCAGCTTGTTTACTATACTGAAAATCGCGTTTATAGAGATTCAAATGTTTGTGGCCACAGAGTTCCCAACATAATGTATAATGTAAATGATGTGTATTTCAGATTACAGGAAAATAACTGATGAAATGTGATGAAGCAGTGGGACATCATGCCCTACCTAAAGCATTGCCATCTTTGGCTAAGGCCTTTGTAGCCTCTCCACAGGGGCGGACTGACCATTTGGAAACTCGGGCACTGCCGGAGGGCCTGGGGTCAGTAGGGGGCCCCATGAGATGCCCCTGGTACATTTTTCATAGGCTTTTTTGAGTTTGGGCAAGGACACAGGGGCCCCATGATCCCCTATTGCCCGGGGGCCCCATGAGTTGTCAGTCCGCCCCTGCCTCTCCATAACTCTGGGCCTCACTGTTTTCAGAAATACCTGACATATCCTTCCAAGATAAACTTTAAAAGCTGACACAGGGATAAACCTCTTGGAGCTTTGCTTGCTTTATGCTGGAACAGGCTAACAAATGGGAGGATAACAATAACAATGACCATTAATTGGGAACAGACTGTTAAAACGTGACATTGTTTTTGAACCCGTAATATGGCCAGAGGAAAAAACGGATGTGTTTGTTCAGTCTGAATGTCAGCAGTGATGTGAATTCACATGAGTATTTTAATGTGATGAGAAACACACATCAGAGGCCTGGTTAGGGTTGTGTACCATGAACATTGTGCCTCAACTAAGAAAGGCGTAGAGTGATGGCATTCATACGCTTATCTCCTCCACATTGTGTTTCTGGTGACATGTTGCCTACACACATGATAAAGAGATAGTAAGTATATCTTCCAAACCCCTCCCAGGCTCTTACCGATTCATGCACATAGTCCATTGTATCTCGAACGTCCTGGAACATGCTTTTAAAGGACATGAACAGATTGCCGTGTCTGTAACCAGTGTCATAGCTGCAGAGGAATTTAGGACACTGACAATTAGGTCTCTACATTTAAAAATGTAAATATTTTTAAAGATGTGATTTTAATAATGTGTAAATGTGAACATTCAAATGTGTCTCTCTGCAACTACTGGAAACTTTGGTTGATGTCAATGGAAGTTCCAGAAGTTACAGGTAGCCATCAGTCATTACATGGATAGGGAGAAGTCAGTTCATAACATTAACCGCTTGTCGACCGCCCTATAGCAGGAATACTGTTACAGAGCAGCAGCGGTGCGCAAAATCACATATATATATATATATATATATATATGTAAATTTTGCATTTCCGGGTAGGGGGTGTGCGCTAGCCCTACCCGCGCTGCCATTTGCGACTGTGGCTGTCAATCACCGGGCCCCAGCTGGTAATTACTCGCCAGCGCCCAGTGATTTCCGAGGATCTTTGACGGGGAGAAGGACTGTTTTGTTTACTAACAGTTCTCCTCCCTGTCAGCTTGGGCACACTGCTGTGGATGGCTGTGCACAGCACAGCCATCTACAACAGAGTGATTACAGTGAATCACACACATCCCGACCCCTAGCAAAACACTCCCAGCACACAGTTAACCCTTTGATCATCCCTCATGTTAACCCCTTCCTGCCCAGTGCCATTATTACAGTGTCAGTGCTTCTTTTTAGCACTGATCACTGTGTTTGTGTCACTGGGGATGTCAGTGACACCAAGTCAGTTCCCCCCAGTGTCAGAACGTCCGCCACAGTCCCGCTATAAGTCGCAGGTCAGCAGTCTTTCCCATGATTGTGATTCCTACTGAACCAGACTGAGAGACCATTTAAAGGCTCAGGAACCCTTTGCAGGTGTTACGGCTTAATTAGCTGATTAGAATGGGACACTTTGAGCCTAGAATATTGCACCTTTTCACAATATTCTAATTTTCTGAGATTGTGGATTTGGGGTTTTCATGAGCTGTAAGCCATAATCATCACAATTATGACAAATCACGGCTTGAACTATCTTGCTTTGCATGTAATGAGTCTATCTCATATAATAGTTTCACCTTTTAAGTTGCATTACTGAAATAAATGAACTTTTGCACAATATTCAAATTTTTCGAGTTTCAACTGTATATACTGCCATTTGTAAACGCTATAGCTTTCACGCAAACCAATTAATTTACACGTATTTGGATTTTTTTTTAGCAAAGACATGTAGCAGAATACATTTTGACCTAAATTTATGACAAAATTTTATTTTTTACATTTTTTTACTGGACATGTTTAATAGCAAAAAGTCAAAAATATTTTTTTTTTTTTCAAAATCGGTCTTTTTTTTATAGTGCAAAATATTAAAAACACACAGGCGATCAAATACCACCAAAATAAAGCTCAATGCGTGGGACGTAAATTTCATTTCAGTGCAGCGTTGCATGACCACTCACTTGTCAGTTAAAGTAACACAGCGCTGTAACACAAAAAATGGCCTGGTCAGGAAGGGGGGTAAATTCTCTGGAGGGCAAGTGGTTAATGAAAGATATATTTGTTTATGGCACAGTTCTTTTTCTGGTTATGCAGATATTCTAAGCCTCATTAGCAGTGTATAACACTTTATCGTAGTATACCCTGGATTCAAATAAGCTTCACAAGTACTGAAGCCATGACCACCATAGAGAGTAATTGTCTCTATGGAATGTAATTTACATACCTTTCCTTTTAGTATTCAAAGCCTTATATCAGCTACTTTTTAAATTTTAGATAATCTTGGGAAGAGATACACTTTTAGTCAGATTTTGTGATGTCTGTGAGGCAAGGGAGGGCATCGTTCCCAGAACAAAGCATACACAACAAAATAAACATGGTCAAAAGCTCTATAGCTGGCCATAGATGAGTCAAAATTTAATAGAGACTGTACGATTTTTGAACCATCTATGGTCGTTCCCATTTGAGAGGAGTCGACCTAGTGATAATCTTCTCTCAAACAGGACTGTTGGAAAATTGGCTGCGGTGCTGATCAGTGTATTCTGGCAGTGGAGGAGTCCCACTGTCAGAATACAATAGCCCAACGGGGAAGATTCCTTCATCCACCTCAAATGTGTGGACGGGGGAGTCTGTTCATTTTTTTTTTTTTAATCAGCCAACTGGATTAAAGAAAAAAATCTGTCTATTTATTTCAGGTACTTATATAGCGCTGTCAAGTTATGCAGCGCTTTACATTACATTTAAGCTTATATTGTACATTCACATCAGTCCCTAACCCTCAAGGGGCATACAATCTAGGGTCCCTAATTTACATTCATATATACACACACTAGGGTCAATTTAGACAGGAGCCAATTAACCTACCAACATGTGTTTGGAATGTGGGAGGAAACTGGAGTATCCAGATGAAACCCACGCAGGCACAGGGAGAACAAGCAAACTCCAGGCAGGTGGTGCCATGGTTGGGATTTGAACCAGTGACCCTAGTACTGCCTGGCAGAAATGCTAACCATTTAGCCACTGTGCTGCTCATCTATGGCCAGCCTGATCTTTTCTCACTCTGCTAAAAAATAGTTTTATTCTTGTCTCAGAGTGAGATTGTAAGCTCCCAAGATCAGGCCCTCCTAACCCTCTTGTATTGAACTGTATTGTTGCTGTATTGTCTCCCTTTATATTGTAAAGCGCTGAGCAAACTGTTGGCGCTATATAAATCCTCTATTATAATAATAATAATAATAACTGTCCTAATTGGCGATATTTCTCATCACTTCCTGCCCCCCCCCCCCCCATACAAAAAGCAAAAGGTTTTGTCTTGGGTTGGGCTTTAAAGTGAATCTGGACCCAGATCATGCACACTGAAGTACATACTTATGCTAAACAGGTTGTAAAAGTACTTTAAAAACAGCTCTCATCCATCTATGAAGTTATAAGCATTGTGGAGAAATGTGGTTTTCAAAGTTCATAATACAGTTATTGAAATCTTGGCTTTTTTATGGGGAGCAGATCTTGGCAGCTTGATAACCAAATGTAAACAACCAGCAGGTGTTTCTAAGCTTTTAGAAACCTACTGAAACATGACTCTGGAGCCTTTGTTGTGATCTTTGTGATCCATACATTTGTGTTCTTCCAACTTGACAATTACATGCGTCTACTCACTGGTGTACCTAAATCCACTATTAATCAACTTCAATATGTACAAAATTCTGCAGTCAGAGTCCTGACTAGGTCTGGTACAAGGGATCGTATTACCCCTATCCTGGAGTCCTTGCACTGGCTACCCGTCAGGTTTCGGATAGACTTTTTAGATCCCTTTGCTCACCTATAAGTCTCTTCATGTCTTGGCACCCCACTATCTCTCTGAATTTTTATAAACTTACTCCTCCCTCATAACCTCCACTCTTCAAATTCTGGTCTTCCATGTCTCCCATACTCACCTAAACCCGATGGGAGACAAGCCTTCTCCTGTTATGCTCCAAAACTCTGGCATTCACTTCCAAAGAAAATCAGAGAGTCATCTTCTCTAAACTCATTCAAATCAAATCTAAAAATGTTTTTCTTTAGACAAGCTACCTTTAAAGGCGCATGTGCATATGGAGTATTTTCTGAACGCAAAACTTCCATGTTCAGGAAATACATTATACTCGCATGCAACTGAAAGTCATTTTTTAAATGAAATAGTTATTTCTTTCATTACATTCATTTGGATACCACTTCCTAGTTTGCTAGGCACTGGTCATGTAGCCCCCGTATTACAGATACCTCCTAGGAAGGCTATGTAACCAGTGCTTTTAGAAAGATCTCATTAGGATTAGCCCACGTATTACAGATACCTCTTAGGAAGGCTATGTAACCAGTGCTTTTAGAAAGATCTCATTAGGATTAGTCCCCATATTACAGATACCTCCTAGGAAGGCTATGTAACCAGTGCTTTTAGAAAGATCTGATTAGGATACAGAGAGATCTTGTGAGATTTTGTGGAAAATACATTTTTTCCCCCCTGATTATGTATAGAGAGACAGGGTAGAGTGGGAAGTGCGCTGGTGTCATCATGTGGGAACAGAAACTATTCTGGGAAGTGAAAGGGAGACAGAATCCTCCAGGCCACCAGGAGAGGAGGACAGGGTATACAAAAGGAAAATGATTTTACCCTGCTGTGAAGGGTAAGAATGTGTTGTTAGAATGCAGTTTCAAAATGTTTTTAAAAGTGCCTTTACTTTTTTTTGATAATATGCATGAAGGTCCACTTTACGAATTTATAAACAGTTTGTCCATAGTCTGGGCACAGGTGTACTTTAATGTTGGAAAACTTGCACAACCCCATGCATAGTGGTGCTTGTGAAGATAATCCATTAGAACACTGAGATCCCAATGTAATAAACAAAAAATAAACTTTTGTACAGGTGAGAACATGTACTTTACGTATCGGGAGCAGTCAGTGAAGTAGTCCACCAGACAAGCATACAAATAGGTCTCTGTGGAGACAAAAGCACACATCTCTCAATTTTGTAGCTCCTGTGAATAATATGTTGTATTACTACACCTGCCTGAATCTATTATAACTACTACTATTGTTAGCCTGATGTGCTTTTTGATCACTTCATTGTAGTTCAAGCCATGCACCTTAATTGTCCTACATGACAACCCAGTGAGGAACCAAAACAGATGGTTCCAGTGCTAGGATTACAAATGAGTACCCTCCTCAAACATAGGTCTCATCATAGGTATATAGTAAAGGGATCATTTTGGGCCTCAGAGCCAATGTGCTACTTTCAAGGCCTGTAATTCCTTATCTGTGGCTAACAATGACAAACACTGATGGACATACATCAAGTCAAACATCTTTTGTGATAAAAGGGCAGGGTAAAGTATAACAAAACAAGTAATTAGGTATTTTTCATGGCATGTGGAGATTTTCAGATATGTTGGAAAATCTTGACACATCCCAGTGATGATTGTTCCTTCTGAAGAAAAGGCAACAAACAATTCACAGCATGTGTACTGCTTATATCACTGAGCTAGGAATTAGATTGTGATTGGTCCTGATTTCATGCAGACAGTTTTCTGTCCATAGCCTGACCAGTACTCCCATAGTCTGCTTTCACTCTGAAGCTTGCCCTCTCATCTATGTTGTCAACCTCTATAACACATGTGAAAGCTTTGGGATAAGTAGATGAACACATTCCTTACCTGCAAGATTAAAAGAGAGTATTTAGAACATGGAACCTCTTGGTGTCATCTCTTTGGATGAATTTGTTGGGGTATTTACTCCAAACCTCTGCTCTGAAAGACAAGGATGGAAAAGAGACGGTGGTAATCAGAACTAATTAACAATACACCATATTGTATCATACAAATGCGCTTGCCAATGTGCACACAGACCTCAGCAGCAGCATTCGTATCTCCAGGGTATCTCAATCAGTCATTTACTACTTTACTGCTTGTTTGGTTGGGCTGTCTGATGAAATTTGATGTTATCCATAAGCATCAGGAAAATCTTCCAGTCCTGCCAAAACCCCATGTAGCAGCATGTAGCAGACTCAAGGCTCCCTCCTTCTCTAAGAAGCAAGGGGACTATGATCTCTCTGTTGGTTGTCTTGACATACACATTTATTTAATACAGTTCTCCATTGGTAAAGGTCAACTTCACCCAGAGCAGATATTTCACCCTGTTTTTTTATCTCTCAAAGGTTCCACTGATGGGTTTGTGTTTGTGCACCCCTCCCACTATTTGTTTATTCTACATCCTGGAGAATTCATCAAGAAAGTGACATCATCATTTATACTGGCAATGGCTACAACAATTGAGCAGAACTGGAATTTCGAGTGAAAATATTTTACTGTACCTCTGGAGTCCCTGACAGTTGAAGCCAGCATATGATTCTGTTTGTCAGCAACCACTTAATAGTGCTGAAATACAGGTGTACTTTGGTTTACGAATGCCTCGGTTAACGTAATTTTTGGTTTACGAATGAAAATCCATTGAAAATAATGCCTCGGTTTATTAATTTTTTACAAATTTTTTATGCAATACGAAGTGTATGTTGGTGCCGATTTGTAAATGCAATTGCTGGCTTTTTTTTTCTTCGCTAGAGCTCACAGAATTAGTTGTCACTTTCCCCAAGGCTAAAGGATACTTTGTTTCTTTTATCTCGGGAAACAAACTAAAAGGAAACATTGTTTCTTTAAGAAAAAAATCTGGTAATTACATTTAAAATCCGGCACTGACCTATAGCGACAGCGAACTTTTTTTTTTACACTTTTTCTTACTTCTGGAATGGATTAATTGGTTTTCAATGCATTCCCATGGGAATTTGCATTTCGGTTTACGAATTTTTCGCAATACGAAACGTCCTGAAAAACACATTAAATTCGTAAACCGAGGTGCACCTGTATTAATTTTTTTTTGGTGTGGCCAGTCTTTTAAGGCAAACTTCAAAGACCACCAATGCTGATATCCAAGTACACTCGCCCTAGTGCTATAGTCATTAATGTCCTTCAGTGTTCAATAATGTTCAGAATAGAGTAATGAAAAAGGAGGCGAGAGCAGGAGGGATTAAAAAAACATTTTGGGGATTCAAAAACCCCTTTCTCAAGAACAAGAGGAGGTTCCTGAGAGTTTTTTTTTTTTTTAAATCCCCAAAATGTTTTTTCCCTCCTCCTCTCTCTTTTCACCAGAGTCTGGCTCAGCATTTCCTTTTCACTACTCTATTCTGGGTATTGAATTCCTGTATGCATTTCTGAACATCAGCTCTGAAATGTTTTAAGTGTAGCTCATTTTACCTATATGCATGCATGTTCATTGCTGTGATTCAACAATGGAGTGTATATCTTTGTTGTATTATGATTGATATTAGATGACATACTTGGTTATCTGTACCTGCTGGGTGATTGTATGTACTGTATATGCCTAATACAAACTTATTGCTAAAGCAGTGTGGCTATGTGGTGTGCTTACTCTATACATTAAAAACTCTTTATAAATCCCTGCCCCAGGTTTTGGCACACTTTTGGGAACTGGGTAGAGTAGGGAGAGAGACCCTGCCTGACAGGCATAGTGACTAGTGGCAGGGAAAGGCTCCTGATAAGGGGGAACATGTAAGGGATCTGCTAACCTCAAGGAAGCCTCACCTTTTGGGACCAGACTGGCCAGGCTATTTTTCACCCTCCAAAACAGACAATATCGGTGAAACTCTCCCCGCTGCATCTCTGCCTGTGAACTGAACTGTGAGTGTTTTCCCCAAGTGGCTTTCTCCTGCTGGGGTGTTTGTAATTGGCATTCTCCTCAATACAAGTTTCAAGTTTTATTGCAACTAAACCCTGTATTTACTGCTGTCACAACGCGCAGCACCTCCCCACAAGTTGATAATTTGACATATAAAGCTGCCTGCAGCAGACCACTGTTTTACTAAAATAATCATGTGTCAGTATTTTATTATACCAAAAAGTCCAATTATGTTTCAACTTAATGACTTTTTTCACATGACAATATAAACAGAATAAAGTGAAAAGAGAAGGAATGCAGAGCGTGAATTCCTTCATATTGCAACAATTAAGAAGAAAACAATGATTGTCTACTTGTTTAAAAGATTCCCTATTATAGCTATTTTATATGAGCCATTTATATTTAATGTTTATTGGCTGTATGAAAGGTGTCAGTAGGGTGAGAGGGTTGTACACACCATGACAGGTCAGCGGAGGAGACTGTCAGAGGACAAAGAGGAGACTGAAAGGAATCCTGGCCACTGGACAATGGATTTATAAATAGCAATATTAAACCCACAGGGATCTGCAGGGCAGTATTTAGCATCATGACAGCACCCCAGTGACATCCTACTCTCTCCAGGCCTAGATTTCCAGGCTCAGCTTGCACTGGCCCCCGTCACTCCACTCAGTAAGAGGTGTGATTTGTATAAAAGGCTATCCACTTACCCTTTCAAAAAACGGAAGCCATGGACACAGACAAGTACGTTCCCATTAGAGTCCACTTTCAATAGGTTTCCATACAGGCTGTCAAATACCAGGCCCCTGCCAGAGAAAAGAATACTATTACACTCTATGATGGTATAAAGCAGATGAACAGATATCAATTAAAATGCTACTATTATGAAACAAGCTTCCTTTTAAGATGGATCATTGCCTCAAAACTACATGTGCAGAAATGTACATTTGTCTTCTTTTGTAGCCAATCCCGCATCCCTGTATACCATAGCAGAGTAAGTCTTAATAAGAAATAAGGTTTGTCCTGCACAGGGGCGGACTGACCATTTGGAAACTCGGGTACTGCCCGAGGGCCCGGGGTCAGTAGGGGGCCCCATGAGATGCCTCTGGTACCTTTTTCATAGGCTATTTTGAGTTTGGGCAAGGACACAGGGGCCCCATGATCCCCTATTGCCCGGGGGCCCCATGAGTTGTCAGTCCGCCCCTCCTGCACTGATGCTGCATGAGTTGTATTGCAAGTTAGCAGGTTGTAGTGGATGAGGTTGTCAGTTATACATTTGGCATTATTTAAGTTTTTAGTGGATGCTGGAGAACTAAACCACCTGACAATTTCTCCAAAAACAAGGTAGGGAACTATCTCAAAGAGATATCATTGTTGGATGAGTGCAATAGCTATATACACTGCTCAAAAAAAATAAAGGAACACTTTTTAATTAGAGTATAGCATCAAGTCAATTAGACTCCTGGAATATTGATCTGGTCAGTTAAGTAGCAGAGGGGGTTGTTAATCAGTTTCAGCAGCTTTGGTGTTAATGAAATTAACAACAGGTGCACTAGATGGGCAACAATGAGATGACCCCCAAAACAGGAATGGTTTTACAGGTGGAGGGCACTGACTTTTTTATCCATACTCATCTTTTCTGACTGTTTTTTCACTGTTTTGCATTTGGCTTGGGTCAATGTCACTGGTAGCATGAGGCGATACCTGGACCCTCTACAGAGGTTGCACAGGCAGTCCAACTCCTCCAGGATGGCATATCAATATGTGCCATTGCCAGAAGATTTGCTGTGTCTCCCAGCAAAGTCTCAAGAGCATGGAGGAGATTCCAGGAGACAGGCTGTCAGGGAACAAGAAGATTGCCGCAGCACATGAATCTGCGCATGTGCAGGATCCTGACAATGTATACAGGCAGGCGGGCACTAGGACCTAGGAGCGCCTGTCACCAATGACGGCACCGGCAGGCACTAGGACCCAGGTGCGCCTGTCGGCGCTGGGCGGGCTATTTAAAGAGCACCTCGGTGCTCATTCAGTGCTGACTGGTCTTCAGCTCCCCCTGTGTCTTGCTTGTTTCCTGTGCGATTTCCTTTGGTTCTGACCCGGCTTGTTCCTGACCCGACTCTGAGTACTCTCCTGCCCCCCCGGTTCCTGACTTCGGCTCTGTTCCTGACTCTGGCATTTCCTCCTGATCCTGTACCGCACCGCCCGACTGTTATGACCCTGGCTATCCTACGACTCCGTTCCAGTCCTGTGTCCTGGCTACATACCTGGCTCTGGCTCTGGGATATCATGTTTCGGTTTATATGACGCTGCCAGGTTGCACCTCAGACTGTCCAGGAGCTCAGTGATGCCCTGGTCCATGGTCCTGGCCATACAAACTACTGAGTACCATTTCGAGTTGCTGCAATGAAATTTCAGCAAAATGGACTGGCCTGATGCATATTTTTTTTACTTTGATTGTCGGGTTGTCTTTGAATTCAGTCCTCTGTAGATTTTTATTTCCATCAAATGATGGGCCATCCTTACAATCCCAACAGTCCCAGTCCATATCAATATGGATATCCAGCATGATAGTTTTCCCCATTGAGATCTGATGTGTTTTTAAAGTGTTTCTTTCATTTTTTTAAGCAGTGTAGTTTAGGGACCCTGCTCTATGCTGTTGTGCTCCTAATTAAATTTAGTTTGTTGTTGCTAGAGTGTAGATTGCATAAGCATTTGTTTGCCTTTTTCTATGTTCTTCCCTGGGCTGATTGCTTCAGCCTATTACTATGAAGGAGGTTCCAATAATTAGACAAGTGCTGAGTTATGAATATCTACCTGACCCAAACATTCCTGAGGTCTTTTCTTAGAGGTATGGGAGATGATAAATATTTAGCCTACTTTTCCAGAGTGTTCTCTGCCTCCTGGAGCTTGCCTGGAGAGATGTGTATTTAGAGTGTTTCTCCAGTAGGACCTTTCCTTAATGTGGGGAATGTGCTGTAGGCTCAAGAACCTAAGCTAACTGATGGAGTGGATATATGGCGGTAGTTGTGCATGCAAAGAGTCTTCTTGTGTCACAGAGAAGATGGGTAGAAGCTACTACTGGCCATTGTAAGAAGGATTAATTGCCTATCAGACAAGGTATATTGGACTGTTATCAGAGGATCAAGAGACAGATTTCTTAGGCAGGCCATAGACGATGAAAAATTCTTTCCTGCAACCATGGGTTGCAGAAGGTGTCCTCGCCAGGAGAATACAGTGATTATTGCTAGAGGCTATAATAGCCGCCAGCAATAATTGCATGTAAAATCCGGCAGGCTGGTTGTACCCAAGTTGATCGCTTGATCAACTTGGGTATATTCAGCCTGCCCATACATAGTTTGATGCATGGCCGATTCAGCAGGAATTAGAACCGTCTATGGCCAGCTTTAGAGAGAGATCCACTGCAACTAACAAAGACTGTGACTGCACTTACAGGATCAAAGATCTGTCTGGCTGCTCCTTCAGTGCCAGCAAATACCAATAAGCTGCTCATAAAGGCCCTACTATAACTACGGCTTCTTCAAAATACCTGTCCGGGCTATCTTTGGCTATCTTGCACCCCTAAACCTTCTCTCCTAGAATTGACTTCAGCAATAAAAGGTAATAAAACTAAAGTTACTGGTGCCTGACCTATTTTTCTCCATACTATACACCAAGAACCAGACCATGAGATTAAAATGTTAGCCTGCCACACTACTTAGGGGTCATTCCGCACCACCCTGACAAGAAAAGTGCTACAGTAGTAACAGAAAGAAATTTGATAAGTAATCTATATTTAAAATGAAACAGGGTTCTAACAGTTAAAGCGGTGCTTCAGCCAAAATGAAAAAAAGAAGAGTCAACAAAACTGTAGCTGCTGACAGACACTCACCTGTCCCTTGATTCAACAGTGTCCTCACTGCAGTTGGGTTCACCGGCCGTCCTGTGTCCCCGTTGCCGGCATCTTCAGTGTGGGCACCCGGTTGTGACAGCTTTCGGTCTCACAGCTGGGTGCCCACTTTGTGAATGGTCCCACAGTCTTCTGGGACCTGTCATGAGTCTCAGAAGACTACAGGGAGGGAGAGGGGAAGGACAACTTCTGCTTCCCGATTGCCTAGGCAATCTCAATGGAAGTGGGAGCTGGTACCTGTCAAAATCGGGTTACCTCCCCCCCTTGCTCCTCAAAGGTGCCAGTCCTTAATGGGGAGCAGGGGACAAGGCCTTAAAGTAGAACTTCTTTTACATGGAGCTCCGTTTTAAATACAATCTTCTGTTCTAAAAACTATCACTGCTTGCTTGCAAATTTGAAAATAACAAGGCTGTCTTTTATTTTCCCACACAACTTTGGAATACTCAGACCGCATTATCATCACACCCTGTTGTGATTTAAGTCCTCATGCACACTTGACGTTTTTACAGAGACTGTTTTTGTATTTTGAAGTTTTTTTCTACAGCCAGTAATCCCCCCAAGCATGTTATCATATGTGTCCATGCACACATAGAGTGTACTCAACATTGGTTGGGACGTATTTTGGCTGGAAAAAACCCCAGGACTTGTGGGTTTCTAGAGGAGTTTTTTAGCTGTAAAAACGCTCAAAAACGTGGCAAAATGCGGTAAAACGCTGTAAACTGCCGCAAACCAGCGTTTTGGACTTTTTTGACTCAAAAATTTTTATAGATATATATATCTATAAAAAAAAAAAAAAACCCCAGGACTTGTGGGTTTCTAGAGGAGTTTTTTAGCTGTAAAAACGCTCAAAAACGTGGCAAAATGCGGTAAAACGCTGTAAACTGCCGCAAACCAGCATTTTGGACTTCTTTGACTCAAAAATTTTTATAGATATATATATATATACTGCACGTTGAAATGCATTTTTTTTATATATTACAGAATTTTTAAAAAATACAAAAAGTCCAAATAATTATTCCTCCATATTCAGCTTTTAAAAATATATATATTTTTTTAATATATTCCTCAGATTTGCTTTAGCATATAAAGTCATTTTAACATATACTTTTACATATATTTGTAAATGCATTCCAAAAATGTTGATTTGTATTTTTAAAGACATACAGTATATTTGAAATGTATTTTTAAAAATATTTTTCATATATTTTGTAATAAAAATGCATTTCAACATACAGTGTGTGTGTATGTATGTATATATATATATATATATATATATATATATATATATATATATATGGGTAGGCAGGGGAGCCGGAGCTGCAGGATCGCATAACCGGACCAGACCAGATTTAAACAAGGTAAGTATATAGATCTTTATATATAGGGTATGCAGGGTAGGTAGAAGGATGGGGAAGGGAACAAAACTTTTAAGAATATTTACTGTTAGGCTTTACTACCACTTTAATAACAGTGTGCAAAACATGGGATACAAGGAAAAGTATGCTGCATCATCTCTGTGTTGATGTACATAGTAAAAAATAAAAGAGAATAACATTGCGTAATCTATGCTCACGGTACATCATGGGTGCATGGACAGATAATGTTATCAGTCATAAACATAACACAACAATACACATGAGAAAAAAGCACTGTGACATCACAAGGAGAACCAGGATTCCCCTCTTGCAGACAATAATTCAGGCCAAGGTTTTTTAGTGATAATCTAAGTGTACAGTGCTTATAAACATGTTTGAAAATGTTTCCCTCCGGAACACTCTAGTCCAGGGGTAGGCAACCTGCGGCTCTCTAGCTGTTGTGGAACTACATTTCCCATGAGGCATTGCAAAGATTACAAAACTGACAGTTACAGCTATGACTTGCACAGGCATGATGGAACTTGTAGTCCTGTGGCTCTCAGGTTGTCAACTGCTCTAGTCCAATGGTTGTCAACTGGAAATGTATGGAGGGCTTCCGAGCCGCACAGTAGCAGTGCATTTTCACATCTCAACAGCCAAAAACTTTGGTCCTGCTGGATTTTCTGCAAAATATTGCAATACACCCTGAAGAAGCTAGAGTACAATAACTGCCCAACTCTGGTGTCAGTGGCCGCAATAATAACCCTGAGCATTGTTGTCAGTGGATACAATAATAACCCCAATATTGGTGTCAGTGGCCAATAACCCTCAACACTGGTGTCACTGGATACAGTAATAAACCCCAAAATTGGTGTCACTGGACGCAATAACCCCCAGTATTGCTGCCAGTGGATGCAATAATATATATATAAACCTTTTAGTGTCAGTGAAAAATTATATACAAAAAGTCCAAATAATTATTCCTCCATATTCAGTTTTATCATTCCCATGTATATCCAAAAGAACGTATACCTCCAAAAGAAAAGAAAACTAAAATAGTGTATTACCCTCGATTAAATATATGCTTCACAAAAATAATATTATCAAAACGTGCAAATTTAAAAGGATTCAAATCATGAACAACACGTGAATTGTGAAATCACTCTGTGTACACTCTATATACATACTGTATGTGAATACTCTGTGTACATTCCTATATATACATTTGTGAACACTCTGTGAACACTTCTAGGTAACTGGATTGCATACAATTACCCTAAATCAAGTAATAGCAAGCCTTTAGAGTACACCCTGGACTCTCACTCCAGTATCGATATTACTTCCCCCTGGACTCTCACTGCAGTGTATGTAAGACTCCCAGAATTGGATTCCAATACTTCAATCAGGTATTAGTTCTCCTCATTCATCTACCATCCTTGCGTGTCATTCATATATAGAGAGAAAGAAGCCCACATAGTGTAATATATTTAAATAGATATAGTACATTTATTAAAAGTGCTTACACTTAGGTTTCCATCAATCAGTAGCAAGTTCCCGTGTCCCAGCCATGAGCAGCTTCCTGGAACGCTGAAGTGCAGAATACGCACAACAAAGATGGCCGCTCCGCCACTTCCGGTTCCCAGGATGCAATAATAACCCTCAGGACGAGTGTCAGTGAATGCAATAATAACCCCCAGCATTGGTGTGAGTGGAAGCAATAATAACCACCAGGATTGTTATCCATGAACGCAATAATAGTCTCTAACGTTGGTGTCAGTGGATGCAATATCAACCTAGCCTTGGTGTCAATGGATGCAATAATAACCCCCAGCATTGGTATCAGTGGATGCAATAATAACCCCCAGTATTGGTGTCAGAAGATGCAATAATAACCCCCAGCATTGGTATCAGTGGTTGCAATAGTAACCCCCAGCACTAGTGTCATTGAATGCAATAATAGCCCTTAGAATTGATTTCAGTGGATGAAATAATAGCTTCCAGTGCTGGTGTGTCTCTGAACACAATATTAGCCCCAAGCATTGGTATCAGTGGACACAATAATAGCCCCCAGCACTGGTGGCAGTATTATTCACTTTGGTGGACAGTGGCAGTCAAATTTATACCTCCCTCCCACATTGGTAGTCAGTGGCATGAAAGTTAACACCTCCTCCCTGCATTGGTGATAATGGCAGTTAAATGTAACCCCTGCCCACATTGATAGTCAGTGGCACTGAGAGTTATCCCCCTCATTTCCACAGGCAGTTGAGAAATTTAGCACCAAAATTACCAATGAAACCAATGAAATTAGATTACTTGAAAAATCTAATTTCATTTTGTGAGTTCTACCAGTCTGCTGGCCAACTCTTTCTACAACTTCCAGGATTCCCTGCATGCTTTGCAGGTTCTCTTTTGCTGTTTACGTTCTATGTCTACAGATCCCATGGTACCTTGCTGCCTGCAAGCAGTGATTCCTGTACTGACTCCTCCTCCTGAAACTCCTCCTCTCAGCACCGCTGTAGTTCAGAAGGCAGGTTCTGTGAAATGTGTGACACAGCAGTGCTACTCATAGGACATAGTGAATATGTGTCTCAGAATTCCAGGAAGTAAATGTGTGAGATGTTGACAAAATAAGTTTACAAACTTCAAGATTATTCAGATTAATAGGAATTGGCTAAAAATGAAATAAAATACAAAGTGGAAAGGAATATATGAATTTCAATTTTTGACCATAGATATGTTTTAAGATGTTCCCTTTCCTTCCTATATCCAGTGGCAGGATTCAGTCCTACAGCTTTGTGCTGGACATGTAAAGCAGTGTCTTCTATTTCACCACAGAATATAAATATAAAAAAAAAATATAATAAAACTTACTCCTTTGGGTTGGAAATCTGAATTTAAATTAATGCAGAAGACAGAACATAATAATTATCATATAATATAAGCTTTGGATAGAAGAACGCAGAGACAATGCATCAATTCATGTATCTTTCAGAAAAATATCTTACAATGTACTGTATCTCTGCTATTAATAAAAAAAAAACAGTAAGATATAATTTGTGAGTGACTATATACCATTGCGGTGGAGGAATTGATCACAATACTTATTGATCCCAGCCTAAATGTCTTCAGAGATCCATAAAAAAAACACTGACCTGGTGGGGAAGGTTGGATCATACTTATATGTGAGGAGTTCATGGGGATATCCAATGCAGACTAGTCTCTCCACCAGGAGCTCAAAGCAGAGTTCTTCATAGTCAGGGGAGCGATACACTGCAAGACAAGACCAATGATTGTAGGTTCATATGGGAATACATGCAGAATTGCCTTACTATCTACATGATTTTCATTGATGCTTAGGCTGTCAGCATCTAACTTTTGTGAAGAGCCAGTCCACCCACATGTTGGTAGATGTTGAAAAGTTAAATATACTTTTTAGTGTCTCACTCTGGACCCCAAGTGGTGGGATCTGTGTTCTGGAATGCCATAACCATTATGAAGAATTCCAACTCTGCCGGATGGATTTTTTTATTTGGAGAATGAAACAAAAGTTATGGAAGTTCCTAGGAATTTGTATTTTGTAGCAGGGACCTTGAGACTCCCAGATGGTCACCTAAAAGTGAAATGTCATTTTTCTATGGTCTGTTCCTTTACTTGACAACAGCACAAACCTTTAAAATATAGGCGGATGCTTGTACTTCAGGAAATTCAAACCCAGGCATACCTGGTATGCAGATTTTGAATTTGCTATAAAGACTTGTACACATGATCAGAAAATTGTACAAAAAATACAGCTTTTCGAAGTGATCGTATGATAATCTGATCTTTAGCACACAGCTTTCAAGAGCCAATCAGGACAGGTCGTTCGAAATTATCTGATGGGGCAAGCACAAAAATGTTTCTCATATGATACCAGATTGTATGATTTTTGTTTAATCAGTTTTCATCCGAAAATATACTATGTAGCACCCTCTTAGGTAGCTAGGGGGAGCTAAGTTAATTATTTTAGATAGGAGGCTGAGTAGCAGCTGGGGAGCTAGTCAGAGGGGTTACATTTAGGTCAGGGTTGAGAGGCTCTGCAATCCAGCTCTCTGGTAGCTCCCCCTGATCTAGAGATCTGTAGAAGTCTATAGACCTCAGTGGGCAGGGGTGAGGAGTGGCTTATCTGTATGCTAAAGGGACCCTGGCCAATCCCCAAGCAGGTGGCTTGGGAAGGGGTTGGGACAGCCCTTAGGGATAGGTGAGCCTGCTCAGAGAGGAGAGTTTGGGTGGAAGATATGAGAGCAGGAGGTGATCATGGAGCCTGGGAGGGGGCCCAGTGGGAAGGGATCTGTCTCCAGGTGGGAACTGGACAGGAGGAAAGCTGAACTTCACCGAGCCCTGAGAAAGGACCATCTGTGAAGATAAGGAAGGATCCAGCCCAGCAGAAGACCTGAAGGCAGCTACCAACCTACAGCTTGCAATAGAGAAACAGTGAGTACTTCTACACCCCCTGGACCGGAGAGAAGGGAGAGGGCATTTGGGTGGGAAACCTGACTAGCCCTTAGCTGCACTGTGCTCTTAAGGTGGCAGATAATGGATCAATTTGTCCAGGGAAAGCGCTCAGATTGCTGGATAGAGAAGGAATATCTGGGGTTTGCGGTGGTACATTAGGAGAGGCTGGAGAGCTCTAAAGAAGAGAAAAAAACTCTTCTGTGGACTTGTACATAGTTTTTACGAAGTTGTCCTCAGTTAACAGTTCCTTGAGCATCCCATTTTTCCTTAATCCCCATCCAAAATCCCTAAAAAAACAAGCTGCAAGACTGTTCACTGTCTCCAGAATGCAAGTCTGTGGAAAAAATGCATGCTGGCTGGCTGTGAAGAACTATAAGGGGACCCAAAACATCAGCAACTCCTAAGGGGGTAGTGCCACATATACAAATGCAATACATTACATCACTTCCAAATTTCTATTCTGTTGTATGAGTCTTTCCATAACTTTAGTAAACCTCTTCATTTTTGATATGGAGACTACCATGCAAACAAAAAAAAAAAGGGCGTTCATTCGTCTGAAAATCTCATTGTATGTACCAGGCTTAGATCATGTCAGGTTTGTTGGACATTAATACAAATGTTTTAATATGTGTGGTGTATATTGATATGAAATAAATACTGATTTTATATAGATGTTGTGCCTTAAAAGTCCACAATTTTTTGAGTGGTGGCAGCAGTCACCAATCATGCCCACAGGGAGAGGTGCGTTTCTCCATTTTGCTCCAAACGTCTACATTTTGGTATTGCTCTTAAACTCATATGCCATCACCTGAGGGGGGGGAGGTGTAGTAATCATGCATAGAAGAGCCAGGCACGGCTCTCACTGTATTAAGAAGTCTTCATGTATCCCCTCATTCCCCCTCCCTCAGGAATGCGTTCAGTGTAGCTGTCTATGCCATCCTTTTCCCAAATAAGGCAATAGGATTATCTGTTGTAAGAAGATACCAATTGATTTTTGTAGAAAAGAAGCTGTTATGCTTTGTGTGTAGTCAGAGAAGTGCGGACCATCTGCGTTTTAACATCTAGCAGACCGAGAGAAAGGGGAATCGCGCTGTACCAACAAAACTAAGTGCAAGACCAGAAATCCCTTTTTAGCTCCTCAGACTTGAAACTGCTTAACCCCAGGCATCTTTGTGGGCAAGTACTTATTTACCTAAACTTCTTTCTGTTATCTGTTTGCTGTGCTGTTGTGCTCTGTATATTTATATATATATATATATATATATATATATATATACATATTGGTTACATCTTTTTCTGTAAATATTTCTACTGCACCCTTTTGACCTTTTAGTAATAAATCTTACTTTCTGAAAGCATTGAACTGTTTCTATAGTTCTTTAATGTGACTTACGAATCCCTGCCGCTGAAGAGCGCTACTATGAGTGTTTAACCCTCTGTATAACCGGTCTGTAGAGAGAAAGCGGTATACTGTCGATTAACTAATCATCCTAGTGTATTGCTGAGTTTCCTCTTTCTCTGTATAAAAAGGAGGTGGTGGCAGTGTGAAGGGTTAATTGCGTAATTAACATGACCCAGTAACAATCGTATGCAGGCTGCCAATACGTCGATTGTGGTCCAATTAGCTGGAAAATTGGTGTGCAGGGTGCAGCTGGGTGTGCCATTATTATGCACGTGACATTGCGGTTTTAGATTGGCTAGTCCTTCGGTCACAAGTTTGGTGAGAAGGGCTGGGGTTCTGATGCCGCGCCTGTCACAGCAGCCTCTGCTAAAGCCACTCTCCATTGACTAAACATAAATGTGCCACAAAGCTGCACAATGGAGGTGCATGAGAAGAGTTGGATTGTGCATGTATGATCAAACTTCCCTCTATCATTAATAGGCACCTTTAGTGGGCTAGCGTTCACTTGTCTCTCCCATAAAAGTATATGGAAATGCAACCGAACAGGTCACATGCAGGTCAACTGCGCCTGCAATGAATTCTGAATAATCTTAAATTGACCATACATGGATGAAAATTCATCCGGTTCAGCAGGGACCGGTGGAATTTTGACCCATGTATGAGCACTGTGGCTGTACAGAAGTCGGTCTACGATCGACTTCTGTTACAACTGCCCTGTCAGGTTTTCCCCGCTTGATCAGCACGTCAGATTATAGCCAGCAGTGCTAATCAGTGTATTCTGATGGAAGTCTCCCCACTATCTGAATGGGGGAGTCAAGTCCGTTTTTTCATTTAAAACTCTGGTTGAATGAAAAAAAAGAGACTCGTGTATGGGCTGCTTCAGATAAGTCTCAAATGGATGTCAAAGAATGCTGCATTTTTTCATCAAGGCCCCTCAATACAGGGGCAGCACAGTGGCTAAATGGTTAGCACTTCCACCTGGCAGTACTAGGGTCGTTGGTTTGAATCCCAACCATGGCACCACTAAGGTTGTTGGTTTGAATCCCAGCCATGGCACCACTTGGGTTGTTGGTTTGAATCCCAACCATGGCACCACCTGCCCGGAGTTTGCATGTTCTCTCTGTGACTGCATAGGTTTCCTCTAGCACTCCAGTTTCCTCCCACACCCCAAAGACATGCTGGTTGGTTAATTGGATCCTGGCTAAATTGGCCCTAGTATGTGTATGTATGAATGTGAGTTAGGGACCTTAGATTGTACGCCCCTTGAGGGTTAGGGACTGATGTGACTGTACTATATATGTAAAACACTGCATTAATTAAAGGCGCTATATAAGTACCTATAATGGTAATCTCAATACTTTCTCTGCTTCACTAGAAAATCAAAGCTTTGTTATAAATATATTACCACTTTAAGATCACCATGAACAATCTGACTGTACAGTATTTGTACAATCTCTTTAGATTTTCCAAAACTATCCAATCAATCAGTATCCAATCTTGGGCACCTTTGCACTGCATAGTAAATTGGAGAGCTAAAAGAAATTGTGTGGTCAAATTATAATGTGGGTGGTAAGTCTTTGGCCTCATGCACACTGGACATTTTTAACATTGCTCTTAGGGGTGTCTGGCGATCTTTTTTTTTTATATATTCCTCTAGACACCCCTGCATGTTAGCCAATGTTTCCATGCACATATAGGAGTTTAGAGGCAGAAAAAATGCCAGTGTGTCCAGGAGCCTTATGTACACTAGATTCTTTGGCCATCTATCCTAGACACCTTTCCTCCTGTCAGCAGCTTTTTTACAGAAAAAACTCTGAATGTGTGTAATCACGTGTTAACACTAGATGAGTTTAGCACTTGAGCGCTAACTCGCTTCAGTTGGCCATAATACATTATTATTCTGGCCAAACGGCCAACCGCTTGACATACTTAACCACTTTCTGTCCAGCCCATGTATATAAACAGCTGGACAGGAGAAGTGCAGGGGTGGGTGGCTGTTTATAAAAGTCCTCCCCGCTTCCCGGCTTGTGCACGCTCCCTGGAAGCTCACAGCACCGCGATCACCGATCGTTGTACGGGACCTCTGTGTGAGGTCCCGATCATGTGATCACTGACTGGCCAATCAGTGATCACATGAATAGTAGTAAGCAAAATGTCACTTTTGACATCATTGCTTACTACATGTGAAATATGAGATAACATGGTACAAGGCTATTCACAACAACCTTGTACCAAGTGACGAGCTGTGAACAATCACAGCTCACACAGTATTTCTCAATGAGTGCAAGAATGCAGCCAGAGAGAAGAAGAAATTATTGCTTTTACAGCCTTTATGGGTGTAAAAGCAATCAGTGTAAAAAAAAAAAAAAAAAAAAAAAAAAGATTCTGCATCACCCCCTACAAGTAGTACAGTGTCACTATGGTGACACTGTGCTGCTAGGGTGACAGTATGTTAAAAAAACACATACATAATAATATAAAAAAATAAAAATGTAAAAAAAATGTTTTTTAAATTATAATTTCGGTTGTAAACTAATTTTGGTTATTTTTTTTTACTAAACAGATAACTGAATAAATTTTTGGCAAGATTTATGAAGAAAGATTATTTATTTGCAAAATTTTATAAGAAAAAAATAGTTTTTTTCAAAATTTTTGGACATTTTCATTTATATAGCAAAAAAAAAAATCCCAGTGGTGAATAAATACCACCAAAATAAAGTTTTATCTGTCTCAAAAAAATGCTAAATAATTCATATGGGTACAGTGTTGCATGACTGTGCAATTGTCATTCAAAGTGTGATAGCACTGAAAGCTGAAAATTGGCCTGGACAGGAAGGGGGTAAAAGTGTCCGGACTTGAATTGGTTAAATGCGTTACATGCTTTTACAAGCATCAAGCGTTTTTTTTTTTCTGCCAAAACCCCCGCTGCCAAAAGAAAAGGCAACTAGGAGAGATCGCCAAAGAATCCAGTGTGCATGAGGCCTTAAGAAAAACTTGGAGGAACCAGCGCAGACCGGTTTCCTTGTGAGCTAATACTAAAACTGGAGAGTGCAAAATATAGTGTAAAAAAAACAAAAAAACAAAAAAAAAACAACAATCAGCTTCCAGGTTTTTTCTGTCAAAGCTTCACTGAACAAGCTGAAGTTAGAAGCTGATTGGCTACCATGCCGGACTGCACCAGATTTAGCACTCTCCGGTTTTAGGAAATTAACCCCACATGTCAGTTTAGCCGGTATATCTTTCATGGGTTTCCAAAAACACTTGTTTTATGTGCTATGAGAAAAATCTTGACTTACTTGCCAATGTATAATCCATATCGAAACCAAAACATTTTATCTTCTCCAAGCTAAGGCTCCGATTGACAAAAATCCTGCATGCAAAAAAAAAAAAAAAAAGTAATTAATACAAAACGTGTACAAATAAATCAAACATCTTGATGGAAGTTGGAGATGTGTAATCACATTTTATGAGCTACTTTGTACTCACTAACCTACCTTTTTTTCATTATTAATATTATAATGGATTTATAGGGTATATTTAAAAAACAAATTATAGAAAGTGCAGCGCTAAAATAAGTGAATGATATTATAGTGAAAATAAAGTGCAAAGTCAATCTGACATATAGCGGAAAAAAAAAAAAAATAAGCGGAACAGTCAAGTGCAGCATATAAAAATCAAATATAAAAAATGTTCAATAAATCATTCAATAAATGTGAAAGAGTAACGTGCAGCATAAAAGTGAGAATATATAAAGTCCATAAAATATCAGTGGAGTAAGAGCTATAAATTGTCCGTAAGGATATAAGTACGGCAATCACGGTGAAATATTGTGAAGCAGGGGGCGGACTGACAACTCATGGGGGCCCCTGGGCAATTGGGGATCATGAGGCCCCTGTGTCCTTGCCCAAACTCAAAAAAGCCTATGAAAAAGGTACCAGGGGCATCTCATGGGGCCCCCTACTGACCCCGGCCCTCGGGCAGTTTCCAAATGGTCAGTCTGCCCCTGTATGTGAAGTGACCCAATAAGGAATCCACCACCTCTGTCAGATGTACACTCACCAGACATCTACTGGTAAACTGCATGTAAGCACATCTCATCTGGGTACAGGTAACAGTGATGAAGCCTCTGCAAGGGATGCCAAGGGCAAAAAATGCAGTTGGACCCTCTCCTATGAGGAACAGCTCACCACAGGAGCCAAACGTAGTAAATAATGAATAAAAGACAATCCACGTGGAAACAAGTAAGAATGAAGGTAAAATGGAGTGCCAAGATGGCCACCGTTCCGACCTTCGGCAATGGCACTGAGACGTCAGCAAATGTGGCTCTCCGGGTGGACAATTTATAGCTCTTACTCCACTGATATTTTATGGACTTTATATATTCTCACTTTTATGCTGCACTTTACTGTTTCACATTTATTGAATGCTTTATTGAACATTTTTTTAATTTGATTTTTATATGCTGCACTTGACTTCCGCTAAAAAAATTTGTTTCACTATATGTCAGATTGACTTTGCACTTTATTTTCACTATAATATCATTTACTTATTTTAGCGCTGCACTTCCTATATATTTATCTTTAAGGAGTTGTTACCTATACCTTGGTGCTAGCTGCTTTATAGTTCCAGCACTCGCCTACACTTGATATTTATTAAAAAAAATTGTAGAGCTATTTGTCCTGTGCAACTGCATTTCCATTCATTATTTATTAACATTGGATTTAATCAGATACAGTTTGATTGTTAAAGTGTAACTCCACAAAACTTTGTTTTCTTTTTAAATAGTGGTGAAGAGTTAGGCCCCTTTCACACACGAGCGGACCGTTCAGGTCCGCCTGTCCATTTTTCAAGCAGACCTGATCGGACGTTCCATTTCTCTCTTATGGAGCGATGGGAGTAAACGGACATGTGTCCGTTTACACCCACCTGCATCCGATACATCCCTGTCCCCTAAAAACAGATGGATGGGGATCTGTTCCCCATCCGTCTGGCAGATCGGATCGGATGACAGTCAGATAGAAACAGAATGGTGGTCTGTTTCCATCTGACAGCCCATAGAGGACAGCCTGCTGTGTCCGTGTCTGCTCGACATGGACCTGTCATCCGCTTGCTCAACAGGGATTCACATGATTTCAAAGTCAGATGTCAGTCCGACTTCAGGTGCGACTTTGAAGTCATCTGTGCGACTTCATGCACAGATGTCTATGCAAGTCGCACGTGAACTTGCATAAAGTAGTGCATGAAGTACTTTCAAAGTCAGAATTGCACCGGTATGACCACTTTCATTGCGGACAATAGAGTGCGACTTTTCATGCTCTTTGAAACTATCAAATCGCATGACAAGTTGCATCAATGTGACCGGGGACTTAGACTCTTTCAGTCTTTCAGATTTATTTACTGTCCCTGTCCCCATTGTGGAAATTCCCCATTCTATTTGTACTGGTCACACTTACCTTCACTTTTGGAATTTTTTTTTCTAACTTCCTATTGTGTCTCTGGCCCTAGAATTGAAGGGAAATTTCCTCACTGGTACATAGACAGCAACAAAAAATAAATAAATTCACTGACAGTGGTTTTAGACCTTCCCTACAAAATCTAAAAGAGATAAAATGTTTTGTCTTAGAAACACTCGATGCACTTTAGGGTATAGTTATAAAAATATTTGTGGAGCTATTTGTCCTGTGAAATTGCATTTCCACTCATTATGTGTGAATAGGGTGAAAACAAATGTTAGGCTATTTTCTTTCCAGGAAAGATGTATTTCATTCAAAGAAATAGGAAAATGCCACATTATGACCACTAAATGGAGCTGATGATCATATTAAAAAAATACTTTTTACAATGATTATAAGCTCCATCTAGTGGCTATAATGAGGTATTTTCCTGATGCACACTATTATGAATGAAAATCATTCGACGTGGAGAGCAAATGGCCTAATAACATTCGATTTTGCCCTCGTACCCACACAACAAATGCACATGCAATTTTAGAGGATGAATAGCTCTGCAAAGTATTTATAAACATACCCTTTAAGTTTCAGCAATCAAGTATTTATCCAAGTACCAAAGAGTGCAAATTTCTGGGTTACGTGAAAAAAAAAAACAATTAAATTGTTACTAGCATTTCAGACTGATATCAGAAGAATTACATTTGACAGTTGTTTGGCCTTAGGAACATTGCAGACATTTTGATACAGTGTGATGCTGTGATGTGTGTCCCAAATATGTAGCAGGATAATCACCTAGTGTTTAGTCACTAAGGAATTCTCATTGATATGGGGTCTATATATACCTGCGGAGAGTTGTAGGGTATGAACAGTTGCTGCTACTGTTCTCTTGTGTGCCAGCCTTGTGGTTGATTAGGTAAGTACTAGTCTGAAGCCACCTATAATAATTTACATTCACTTCTGCCTAACAAGCTACAATGATGCTTAGATGGCTTATTAATGCTTTGCTAGAAAACCATGTGTTGAGTCTGATGGCCCATGTGATTTGTGATATCTGTGAGTTGTGGTTTCTGGGTGGACATTCCTAGAGAGGAAATTGGCAGTAATGATAATGACGCTCTACAGAATTGCTGTCTAATCACAAACAAGCCATGGTGATTGTGCGGTTGTAGCGATAATGATTCAATCATCTAGGGTGGAAATGCTCAGTTATTTTCTGTTGGGGGACACAAGCTTAGGTATGCCATTATTATGTGTCATGTTTCACATGACTGTTATATGCCTTTAAGTGTTCTCTATATTGTGTCTCTGCTCCTCCATTTCCTCTGGTTTTGTTAATGCTGTATAGATAGCCCACCCTTTGTCCCGGTAATGCATTTCCGCAAGCCTCATGTCTCATGAAGCAGAGCATATTATGATCTTTTGACCTATCAGATGTTCATTGTTGTAAGATTTTATTTATTTATTTTCAGGTATTTATATAGCACCATCAATTTACGCAGCACTTTACATATATATATTGTACATTCACATCAGTCCCTAACCCTCAAGTTTCTCTCAGTTTATGGAATAAACTTCACAAGATCTACAAGATATCATCTCGATTGAGTCACTGACTGTGGTATCCAACTGAGATTGGAGTTATCTCATCACAGCTGATTGGAGAGACAGAACATTATGGGTTTCCAATGAATACAATGACGCTAAGTGGAAATTCATGTTGCAAAAAAAATACCTAATCATGTGCAAAGTAAAAAAAAAAATTGCTCACACATAACTGGTTGAAGTCAACACAGCTTCATCCATTCATTAAAGTAGAGTTCCACTCACCCTGTCAAAAAATAAAAGTCAGCAGCTACAAAAACTGTAGCTGCTGACTTTTAAAAAAACAGCCACTTACCTGTCCCTCGGTCCCCGCGGTGTGTCCCCCGCAGCCCGTTTCACCGGCCATCCTGTATTCCAGGAGGCCGGTAGCTTATATTCCAGGAGGCCGGTATCTTCAGTGTGGGCACCCAGCTGTGATAGCTTGTGGCTTCACAGGCGGGTACCCACTGCGCATGCGTGAGTAGCGCTGCGCTTCATGAATGGTTTTGTAGTCTTCTGGGACCTGTCACATGTCCCAAAAGACTACAGGGAGGGAGGGAGGACAGGCGATCGGAGCGGAAGTGGGAGCGGGTATCTGTCAAATTCGGGTACCCACCCCCAAAAGGTGTCAATATTTAATGGAGAGCTGGGGAGTAGTCCTTGAAGGGGAACTTCCCCTTTTGGGTGGAACTCCGCTTTAAACTAGAGGAAAATAAACTTTACTATGTGAACAGCCTATACTCCATTAGTAAAGCAACCTGAGTGTCACAGAACCCCCAAGTAAAGTGAATATTCACTTTCAATAGAATGTGCTAGGAAGATGTAAAAAAAAAAAAAAAGATGTTTGCTGACACATGATTGGTTGAGCTCAAAACAGCTTCATCCATTCACTAAGCAAAGGGAAATCCACTTTTCTAAGTGAACAGCCTATAGTCCTTTGGTAAATCAACAACTGGAAAAAGAGCAAACAGGTGGCGCAAACACCTAGTGCATTATGCAAGGTTTATTAAAAAGTCAAAAAGACGAAAAAATACTCAAAGACATAGCATGTTTGTAAAGCTTAGTATGAAAATCGAGATTGCCACAACAGTGGGCAGGATGTCCCGACTGTCAGTGTGGTCCGCTTGCTGATACGTTTTGGGGACAAGTCCATTTCCTCAGAGCTCTGTCTGTATGTTTTTGTCTTTTTGGCTTTCTAATAAACCTTGAATAATGCACTAGGTGTTTGCTCCACCTGTTTGCTCTTTTTCCAGTTGTTGATTTCCCTGTCTGAGGGCGGCATTCCCGAAACGCTATCCATAGGCCACCTTTATCCCTGGTTCCCCTGGCTTCATTTTGACAGTTGATTCCTGGAGCGCTGGAGAGTGTACACTGTCATCCGGTTTGGTTGTCACTTTGGTAAATCAACCTGAGTGTTAAAGAATCCCAAGTTACCCTAGGTTCACACCTAAGGGTTTTCTGCTGCGTTTTGCAGAAACGCAGTACGGTCCATTTCATATGATTTCCTAAAGGACAGGTTCACATCTCCGCGTGTTCACCCGGTGCGTTTTTTGGAAAGGGTCAGGGACTTTTTTGAACAAAAAACATTGCGTTTTTGGTTCTATAGACTTCAATGGGAACGCAGAAAAGCATTATTGCGTTTTTGATGCATTTTTGGTGTGTTTTTGATACTTTTTGCATTTAAAATCTGCAACAAGAAAAATTTAAAAAATGAAATAAACCAACACATCAAAAACGCAAGTGCAAAAACTCAAAACGCAATGCAGAAATGCCTCAAACGCAACCTGCATAGTCGTGAGCCTAGACTAAGACACTGTCAGGGTCCCAATATTTCCAACCGTCAGGTGCCCATGTAGTATTTCTATTGGGACCACACAAATATGCAATTTTGCCATTCTGCAAATGGTTTCCAAAATCGCTTTTTGACTATGTGAGTGGCCACGAATTCTGATATCTCATGTAGCATAGAAATCCATTAAGTAGCTGTGATGAAAAAAACTTAGATGATGAATCCAATACTTGCATATAATACAAATAGAGGTTTAATAGTGAAAAAAAGTTAAATAGGGGCAAGAGAGAGCAAAAGTGCAGTGCAGAGCAAGTAGAGTTCACCTTTCACCCATCTAATTAAAATGAAATCTGGTTGCTACAGGTTACTGCACTGGGTCATTCAAAATGTGCTTGATGCGTTGCTGGGTGGCGTTACGCTGTTTTTACAGTGCTAACTACTTGTTGAATATTTCTATCATGGGTGATTATTATGCAATAGAATTAAAGTTAGAATACCTAAAGAACCATGTACCTTAGATTGTACTCCCCTTGAGGGTTAGGGACTGATGTGAATGTACAATATATATGTAAAGCGCTGTGTAAATTGACGGCGCTATATAGGTACCTAAAATAAATAAATAAAAATAATTTACCTGAAATCACAATTTGGGTATACAAAAAAAGATATTCACTAAACTCTGCTATAACTCGAACCGAGACTGTTTGGGGATTTACTGTCTCTATGGCCACAAGAATGTTGAGGGACTACAAAGCTGATGAATGGAGCAAGCTGATGCTTGTAGTCCATAAAAAGGTAAAGGGCTGTGGATTGCCTGGTTTATATATTGCCACTCTATTCTTTTTCAAATTTTTAACAGTCATTGTTTCATCTTAATATATAATGACAAAAGTACATTATGGTGGTTTACTTGCATATTCTTGGCTGAGGGTTATACTACTAAAAGATAGTATGTTAGAAGAATATATCATATCTAATGTGAGAGAGTTTCCATATGACACTACATATATTTGACATCTTTGTAATTACCTATGCACTACTGATTTAATGAAACCAATGGTCACACCTTGGTGTTGCAATGAGTACAAAATGTCCCCTGATGAATAGACCTATAAAGCATAGCCATACATGAGCAGAGCCCCAGAAGTCTGGGTTGTGAAATGTCTACTCTGTTTTCCTTCGCACATATCACTAGAAAATTTCTCCCAGACTTAGGCTGGCCATACATGGGTCGATTTTCAAAGATTTTTCGTTCAAAAATCGGACCTAAGAATAATTGGTAAATTTTCGCTCTGTTAGTGGGGCAATGGCACCAGCCAATTTTCGTGGTTCCTCCCCATTTTGTTTATTGGGCATTCTGGAAAATTTGTGAAAAAAACGACCAATTTTCAAAATCATTGGTGGCACCATCGGATTACAGAACGAACAATGTTTTTGATTTTCGATCAAAAATAGTTCGGAATTTGACCCATGTATGGCCTGCTTTAACCATTGTGTGGATGAGTTGCACTGCAACTCTGAATAAAAAGTAATCGTCTCTAAGAAACCACAAACATTTTTCCAACATCTTGGGACATTTCTACATATCCAGCACTTCTGAAACTCAAAAAGTACTTATTGCCAACTGGAAATTAACCCCTACTGCCTGATTATCACAAGGTGATGCAAGGATCTGTCACATGCTGTACATGACCTTAGATATTGCCAGGGCTTGCGTACACGGGTGTTGCTTCCCTGCGTTGGAACGTATTTGGAAATGCACATCAAATGCAAGTCAGCAGAGTCCCGAGAGTGGATGACAGTCCTAAGGCTGCGTCTGACCTGCATTGTGATGCCTCTCTTAGGACACAGCATGTCCTGTTGAGATTTTGTGTTAAAGTCAAGCCAGGTTAAACAGATTTTTACTGCTTTGCCTTACATGCAAGTGCATCTCAATAGCTAAGTCAAACACAGATATTTCCTATGACGTGTTTATTCATTACTGTGTTTGAATGGAAAAGCCATTGTTTGATGACAGTTCCCGTGTATGCAAGCTCCATACTGGCAGATGTTAAGCTGTGCTGGAAATGAAAGGGATGAGCTGGTTACTCTGGCACTCACCTGTGGTGGTAGTCCCTTTTCAGTGTCCGTAAGTCCATATTGCTGGGGTCTATAGAGCAAAGATGCTGGTCAAGCAGCTGGTGGCTGTCACTGCCTACATTGTGCTCCTTGCTGATGCTGCCCATGGCTGCTGTGTATCTTCTGCCAGCTGTGTACTGAGTTGTGCTCAAGGCTGCTCTGAATCTGCTCTGAGTGCCATGTCCCTAAAGCTAAACACTCACAGGTCCAAGGGTCTATCTTCTTCTGCAGATTATGTTATCAGAAGGGGTCAGCCGCTGCTGCTCATCCCTCCCTCCTACTCGTGTTCCAGCACCCCCTCCTCTCCCCATCCCTCCTGTTCCTAATTCTCTGCCTGACTATCATTCATCCTCTCTAACTCATACAAATAGGAGCTTGTAACGTGTAATGAGACTGTATGACTATCTACGTATACTACAAATTTCCGCAACAAACGCATTTTAAAGGCAATGACCCACCCTCTCTGTTTTACGACTCACACTGATATCTATCCACTGAGTTTCCATTCTTATTACTAGAAGTGTCCTTATTGAGAACTAGTGGTGACCCACAACAACCAATCACATTCAAATCTGCAGTGAAAAACAACTGCGTGAACCTTTACATTTTGTTTGCTATGGACTTTTCAGACAGTTCCTATACCTTCCTCTTAGAGCAGGTATTTTTAATTACATTTCTATGGTTTTTAGGATCAAGGAAATCCATATATTTTTATAAGCAATAATAAAGTGATGTACGATAGTTTTATAAAATTTGAGCATTATTTCATTTGTACCGGTAAAGTACTAATCCTGTTTGGATACCAAGAGATACAACTTTTCAATGTGGTACTGAGGTGGTGATCTCTTTTTAGTACTTTGAATAAAGTTTTAGCAAAATGTGGTGTCATGGAAGTGCGGCAGCCCTTGTCTTTGTTTGAACTATGAAGTGTGGGCACCTCCTTTTGGTCTTACTCCTGATCTTCAGGGGAGACAACGGGCAACACAAGCTTGTGAGAGGAGGACGTTTTCACACATAGATTTTAACGCTGAGAAAATTATTTAAATTTAGTTGTACACATTCACATACCTACTGTACTGTATCTAAAAAGAGACTACAGAGTCCCTTTAGGAGGTAGCTGTCCTTTCCAAATGATATCTTCCATAAAAGACCCCACTTTCCTCATTAAATTAATGAACGTGTTTTTCAGTTCTTGTATGAAGACTTGACTCACTTGCCACTGCCCCAACTTTACCAGGACCTTGCAGTGTTTATCATTTTTTTAAGAGTCTTTGATTTCCACAGTAGCACACATCAACTGATACCTGATCATGGGCATGCTGAGCAGGAGATATGCTAGTAAACCTGTTGACATTACAATCTACTTAGCTTTTTTGAGGGCCATAACTTCTACATAGCATAACTTAGCATCAAAACTCCCCAGCTCCTTGCAACTGCAAACCTTCCAGAGACTTCCGGAATGGCTTGCAACTTCCCAAAAGACCATCCCTTTGTCCATGTTTAGTTGAAACATCTCCAGCTTATTTCAGCTCCGTACCTTCTGGGCATGCAAAAACAATTGTATAGGCTGTAGGGGCCCAGGTGGTAGGCACTCCTAAGGGAAGGCAGCCTACACACAGTGGTTGTAATTTTGGAATTTGTATTATCAAAATGTTCCAACAACAGTAACAAAGTCTATGCAGTGGCTCAGAACTGGTGGCAATACTCAGAGAATTCTATGCAGAACTTGCAGTGAACAATACACCAAGACTGGCAGAACCTGATGCAGAGGGGGCTAACTAGATAGCTGATGCAGAAGAGCTAGTAGCGGAAAGGTTTCCCAAATGGAGTGTTGGTGACAACCCCTATGTGCATCGGAATCTTTTCCTACTCTAGGAACACTCACTCTGTCAAGCATGTTCCTGTCAGAATGTGCACCAACTACAGAGGGACAGTGCTTTTTTATAAGCACTGCCCTCACAAAAGAAAGGGGTCACCCAGGTGGAAGCCTCCAATCAGACAGCAGTCCACCTGATGATACATATGGACGCTTTAGAGGAATGTTTGTTCCACCCAGGGGTGGACTGACCATTTGGAAACTTGGGCACTGCCCAAGGGCCCAGGGTCAGTAGGGGGCCCCATGAGATGCCCCTGGTACCTTTTTCATAGGCTTCTTTGAGTTTGGGCAAGGACACAGGGGCCCCATGATCCCCTATTGCCCGGGGGCCCCATGAGTTGTCAGTCCGCCCCTGGTTCCACCTGTACTCCACTCTCCCTTCACAGTGGTGCAGCAGGGCCACTTGTGTAGGGAGGTCAACCTGCACCCGCCTACAATTGTTCCAACAAATGAGTGGAACAAAGTATGTACTGACTGCCCCAATTCTCTTAGATTTCCATACCCCCCAATAGAAATCCAAGACAGGAATCACATTTAATACACATAGTACTGGTGGCAGCTTCCTCTGGGATAAATGAGGTGAAGAAACATGTTTCTTCTGTAAAGAATACTAACTAAAGTGCCTATACACTGCCTTTCCTTTTTTTCGAGAATATATTCATCAACATATGGTCAGGAAAGAAAGGAACTTGCTCACCATATTCATGATCAAGCTGGTCATTGCTGACTGGCCACAACTGTTTCTCTAGAATTATCACTGCTAAGGAGGTTGCGTATACCCCTCCAGGTGCCTGCATCACTTTTCTCTTCATGCTACGCTCCTCATACCATCATCTGAGTTACTGCTGTAGAGTACCACGTCTCATGGTACCCACATATGGATGGATGGGAGAAGCTGAACAATACTGTGAAGAAAGTCTATCCACAGTATGAATATTGTATATGCAAAGTTTACTTTTGTTTCTTTTGTTTTGTCATTTAAGTACTACAGAACAGGACAGTCACTAGATATTTTTGGGTCACATGGAAGTCTTATCCCTTCTTTCTTACTTTTAGCCTTGGTTCACATTGAATACAACTTTGAAATCACACTACTTCAACGCAATTTCAAAACTGCTGATCAGTGCAACTTTAAGTGCGGCTTGCCAGTATCTGAGTGACTTCATGCAGAGATGTTAATGTAAATTGCACATGAAATTGAAAAAAAATAGTGCAGGAACCTTTCTCGACTCATAGTCGCAAATAAGGTGAGGCTTTGATCTGTCAAGTGTGAACCGGGGGTTAATCCAGGTCAAGAATTAAAAATCAACAATGTTTCAAAATATTATATTGGTCATTAACACATGTAGTTTCACATAATTTTGCTATCCGGTACCTTAAAAAAAAATCTTTCTTGTTCCTGAATTAGAATTAACATGTTCCAAATTGCAATAATCTACCACACCTATAAATTGTTATATTTTTATTAACACCTTTTTTTTTTTTCAAAGGATTATTCCTGTTCTGGTGACAACCCAAAACTGGGAATTTATTTTACTTTCTTTGGTGACAATGGTAAATAGGACAAATGGAGAGGGCGAATCTTCCCAGGAGGGGCATTGACAGCAATAAAATAAACTTGACAGGTGTTCTAATTAATTTCCACTCCATCCAAGACAAATAAAAATTGCTTTTAGTTATACTTTAATAGTTCTCCTTTGTGGGACTGGTTACAACTATCTCTCTTAACCGCTTCCTGATCGCCCTATAGCAGAAGTACTGCTACAGGGCAGCAGGGCTGAGCAAAATCATATATATATATATATACACACACACAGTATGTGATTTTGTATTTCCAGGTACCCGCGCCACCATTGGTGGCTACAGCTGTCGATCACTGGGTCCCAGCTGGAGATTCTCTGCCGGCACCTGGCGATCGCCGAGGAACACTGACAGGGGAGGTCTGTATGTAAACAATACAGATTTCTCCTCTGTCAGCACCAGCATGCTTACACAGTACAGCACACACAGAAAAAATTGTAAAACAGCACACAGCACATAATTAACCCTTTGATCGCCCCCGGTGTTAACTCCTTCCTGCCCAGTGTCATTAGTACAGTGTCAGTGCTTTTTATTAGCACTGATCACTGTATTGGCGTCAATGGGGATGTCAGTGGCAGTTAGTCAGTTCCCCCCCAGTTTCAGAATGCCCGCCGCAGTCCCGTAGTCCCGCTATAAGTCGCTGATCGCCTCCATTACTAGTATGAAAAAAAAATTAATTCCAGTATATATACACTGCCATTTGTAAACGCTATAACTTTCGTGTAAACCAATTACTTTACACGTATTCAGATTTTTTTTTAGCAAAGACATAAATTTTAGCCTAAATTAATGATGGAATTAGATTTTTTTTTATTTTTTTACTGGATATGTGTTATAACAAAAAGTCAAAAATATTGTTTTTTATTTCACAATTGTCGGTCTTTTTTGATTATAGCGCAAAAAATTAAAAATGCACAGGCAATCAAATACCACCAAAAGAAAGCATTATTTGTGGGAAAAAAGGACATAAATTTCATTTGGGTGCAGCGTTGCATGACCGCCCAATTGTCAGTTAGAGTAACACAGTGCCGTATTGCAAAAAATAGCCTGGTCAGGAAGGGGGGTAAATCCTCTGACCTAGGTGGATGCTGCATTGATGCCATCTGTCCCTCGCTAGCTGTAGTGAGAACTGAGCGTTCAAACACAACTGTTTGCTCAGTTCTTCCTGATGCTCTGAGCATAGAGTTGAGACTGTCAGTCACCGCTGCCCTGCCCCACCAGCACTCTCTGGAGCACTGGGCTGTGGATTGGGTGGGATCGAGTGGCTCAGGTTCTCCGAGACTCACTGAGAGGTTGAGCCAGGTGCCGGTCCAGGCTCCTGGGTGGATCCAGACCATATGGTCACAATCTTTACCCAGCCGAGCTGAGTAACGTCAGCCGATAGCAGACTTTAGCCTGCTATCGGCTGAAAACAGGTCACAGGAGTGCAGAACAAACTGTACTCCTGTAATCCAGTGGAGAAGGACAACCAAAAGAGTTTAGGTTGTACTAGTCCTTTAACATTGTCTTAGCCACTGCTGTAGAGTTACATCTCTAGGGGTTTCCCAATCAAATCCTTAAGGACAGGAACTGAAATGCTAAGAACCCATTTAAACATATCTGCTGCATTGCACTGTGGTCCCACACACATGTTAATTACAAATTACAATG